TTTCCGAAGGGGCTTGGTGACTTTGCTGGCAGCCGGTGCTCCTCGTCGCCTGCTGAGATCCCGGCAGCCACTTCTGCCTCTCTTGTGCAAATTTCCATTGAGACTTTCAGCGAATTGTTCGTCTATTAGTGTATTATGGGATAAGAAACATCCCCAGTGCAAAAACATAATCTGATGTACTGTGTTTAACCAAGGCTTTTATTGTCATTTAATGCAGTTTCATGTCCATCAAAGTGACAGCCGGTACAGTTAGCGATACCAATGACCTGAGCAGAGAAGCAAATTTAATGAATGGCTCAGGATTTATTGTATCTGGAGGCGTTTTCGTCAGCCCAAAGGTGAATCATGGAGGCCTTGCTTAAATTTTGATGGCAAAAAAATCACTGTTTTTATCCCTGGGCTGGTGTCATTAGTGGTAGCAGTAGATAGTACTGCTCTCAAAAGCTAGGATCCAGCAATTACCATTTTATGCTTTATTATCTTTTACATTTTTATAGTGGATGCAGGCAAAAACATCAGCTTCTTGGAGCACCACCTGACCAAGTGCTGTTATTGCCACTAATGGAATAAAAACACTGGTAGCAAGGGCAAGGAAGGGAAAGGATTGGCCAAAAAGCGGGAACCTCACCCTTCCCCACCCGCTCCCTGGCAGGGAAATGGGATGAGGGAGCCGGTGCCGCGACTGCTCCRGGGATGCACGGAAAAGCTCTGGCTCGGATACTGCCAGGGCAGCACCTTTTGCAAGCAGTGTCTGCATGAAAATAAAGTGGCACAAAGGAGCCAGTGCCACGCGCACGTTCAGCTAAAAATTGGCTTTTTCCACCTTTATTTAAGGAGGCATCATGGGTGTGATGGCAGCTGGACGGAGCAGCCTGGGATTAGATTGCCACATATTTCCAGTTTGGTTGAAGGTGGCAGATTTGACGAATTTTAAACTCTTCCAGCACAACTGGAGGTAATAAAGTCGGACAGGCACGCGGAGATGGCTTGGCACTGGGAACGGCAGGAAACGGGAACTCTGAAGTAGCTTGGGTATATTTATTTTTGGTTTTCCAGCCTTCCAACCTTTCCAGCCTTGGTTCCAGTATCAATTCTGTGGGCATAGTATAGGGCGTGTGTTCAAATCATTCAAATCCTAAGCAGTTTGGAGAGATGAAAGGTTAAGTAATTAAAMCGTGTGATGTAATCTCTGCAAAATAATATTAACCTCTCTAAGTGTGTTTATTTCAACTGCAGCTTAATTGAGGAAGTCTCTAAGGCAAAATGGTGTTACCTCGGCCAGAAAACCTGGATAACAAGAGAGTGGATTCCCATGCAAGCAGGATGACCGTGTACAAGTTAGTGTGACAGTTTAACAGTGTTTACAGCAAAAAGTCATGTAGCATGACAGTTCCTATGGAAACCCTTTTATAACTGAACAGCAGACTAGTTGGAACTCCCATAAAAAAATCTGAAGATGACGTTGGGAAAGTTTAACTTGCGTTGGATTCTTCCTGCCAGTTTTCTGTATTTAACAAGTTGCAGCATTTTAAGGGCAAGGTATTGTTGCAATGACCCCTTCCGAAGGCTGCTGTCAGGAGAAATCAGTGACACGCTCACAAACCRGAGCGGGTTGTGTGTTCCCCTCCCCATCCATACCAGCGATTCAGTCAGTCATAGCAAAGCTCTGCGGGGTTTTCTTGGGCTTTATCATTAGAGCAATCTTCAGCTGATGTCAGTCGGATGGTCTTGGAGACKGGCGGATTTGCAGCAGTGAATGTTTGGTCCAGTATTAGGATTTCGCTGTTTGTTTATGGGAGAGGGTTTTAGGTTTGCCTGGCAGCTTTCTGATTTGTTTCCATTTTGTAAAAAATAGGCACTTGCAGAGAAGCTGCAGTGACAGAATGACTTGAAATTGCAGCATGTTCACAGGATAGTCAACAAAAATGGTATTTGTAAGAAGGTGTCACACAGAACTGGGTGGGTTACACCTAGTTTTGCTAGAAACCCCTTATTTATTTTATTTATTTTATTTATTTTATTTATTTTATTTATTTTATTTATTTAGAAAAAAAAATCCAAAATGTATTTGCTGCTAGTATGCTATGTCTAAATCTGAAATTGGCTCTAATGAAAGAGGAAAAATAAGACTTGGGCAGAGAGGAAATCTGATTTCAAGCAGGGAGGGAACTGTTTTAGGAGACGATACAGATGGGATTTCACTGTGAATGCACTAGCCTTTAGTGCTGCTCTTGGAAGAGAGCTGTACTTACTTTGTAATTTAATATTTCTGCTTGATCTCATTTTCCTTTGTTTGAAACTACGATTCAAYGGTCTGCATTTGCTTTGGAGGGGTTTGTTTTTTTACTATGCTTTTTGCTGTCTTTTAAACACAACCTTCATGCTGATCTGCTCTGGATTTTCACTGGCCAACAAAGGTTATAAATGCTGTTGCAAAGACTGCGATTCCCAAAATGGATGTTACGTTGCATTGCAGGGAAATGATATGCTCAGAATAGTTATTTGCTTTGTAAGTTGTATTCCTCACCTTATTATTATTATTATTATTATTTATTATTATTATTATTATTATTATTATTATTATTATTATTATTATTATTTTGCTGTTCATTTGCAGGCTACTGTCCTTTTTACACAATGGAAACTGAGGAGATGTCGCTACCCCATCTCTTTGAGTTACTGAGCTAATCCATCATTCCTAGCCCAGCTAGGAGCAGTGTTAAACTACATTTCACAGCTATTGAGTTACACTTAAAAAAAATAAGGGAAAAAAAAAAACTGTTCRGCTGTGGGCAAAGTTGCCTAAAGTGCTTTTGTGTCTGGGTGGAAGAAAGGTTGAGGAGCAAAGAAATCCCTTTGGGAGGGCGGCAGATTCTGAAATACCTGGCAGATTGCAGCGAGCGTGAGCTGTGTGGTGTCATTATAGATAAGGCAGTGGCTGGAGAGGGCAGGGGAAGCACAAGCAGCTGCCGGGCGCGAAGCGGGGGCCGTAATGCCCCGCTGCCCATGTGGCACCTGCGTCGGGACGGGCGCCCGCGTGGGCCTGAAGCCCCGTGCGATCCCGCTGCAGCCCTCCGTGCCTGGCGAGCCGAGCATTAATCAAGGGATCGGCAGTGTGAAAATCAGCGTAGCTGAGCGGGAGGCATCGCAGTGGCCGTCGCAGCCCGCGTTCCAGTCCGGACAKGGAGGTTTGCCCCCATCCTTGGCAGGTGTGTTACGGCCCGGCACCACAAACCGCAGCTGCGGAGGGGCCAGAAAGCCCTTTCGCTCCATCAGGATACCAAAAATACCGTTTGCTCAGGGCTGTGCTATTCCAAGTTGGCAATTGGAGACGAAATCCAATCTGTTTCTTAATGATGCTCTTTTTAATTGTCGCTGCGCTGCAGAAGGTTACGCTGGAAATGCCAGGCTTATTTAAATGTGTTAGAGAAATGGTGGAAGGAAGCTTGGCACCGATGGGGTGTTGTGTAGGCCGTTTGCATTGGTGAGATAAACATGTTGATTGAATGCTTAGGTGATTATTCCTGAATTAATTAATGGTGGTGACAACTGAAACTGCATCTCTGCCTTTTGAAAGTTTAGTTCCCCATGGAAACAAAAGGAGCAGCCCSGGCTTGGAGGAAGCCGTAATACAAAGGCAATTATATTGTTTATACTTGGTTCACGTTGAGTGGTGCTAGAAATTGGGGGTTTTTAYGGAAGAATTTCCATATAAAGCAGAATTTGCAGTAACTGATGGATTCCAGACCTGCACTGCAGGGAAATGAATCAAATTGTTTCGTGTTTTTAAAGATTGTTTAGGTTCCTCTTTTGCCTAAAYGGTCCTTTTCTAAAGAGTTTGCAGATATGTTCCCAGCATAATCTATAYCAAGGGCATCTTCAGGGTGCATTAGGTTTCTGACCCTTTGTTTGTATTTGACCTGCACAGATCTGAATGTGTTTGAATGCCCAAGTCCACTCAGAAAGGCTGTTTTTGCCACAAATCTAACGTTCTCCTCCCACGAAAATGAAAAATGTAAATACACGAGGCTTGTGCTTCATGCTGCAGATGCATGGGTCAGCTAATCCTCAGCTCGGCTAGAAGGGGGACCACAAGCAACCGCTGTGGGTAAGGAGATGATTGTTAATTAACGAGGTATTTAGTGAACTACAGATAAATTGAATTGCTGCAAAGGGGCTTATCTGAGCAAATCTGTCCTTGTTGTGTCTGCGTATGAAAGCATGGTCTGAAATGAGTCATGTTCAAGTGAACAMATGCATGTTGTGGATCGCTGCCCTCCTCCTCGCCTTTTATTTTGTATTTATTTCCTCAGTACGGGTTAAAAGACCCAACCTGAGGCGCGTGTCCGGCTGGCAGCCCTTCCAGCAGCCCCGTGCTCTGCAGCCCGTGTCTCAGTGCCGTGAAATGGGGGACTCCTGAGGGAAGGAGGTGTTTGGAGAAGCCAGGCCATGACGCACAGAGCGCTGCGGTGCCTTGGGGCAGCTTCCGAGGCGACCCGGCTGCTCGTTTGCACCGGCTGGGTACCACGTTAATGAACCCCAGGTCACCTGTGGAGATGCTGAAGGATGACTGTAGGCTTTTAAAAAAAACTTTATTGGGGTATAATTGGGAATGTTTTATTACAAATATTGTTCGTTCTTTGAAAGGCACATTTTCAGCTGAAATTTGAGAAAAAGATATTTTTCTTCACATCTCACTGGCGACGTGTGGAGAAAAAAAAAAAAAAAAAAGGGAAAAAAACACACTTTTTTCCCCCCACGAAGAGGCAACTTTGTGCATCTCTGCCCCGGGGTCCCTGGCGGGCGCTGCCGCCCAGCAGCACGGCGGCACCTGGGCCCGCTCGAGGGGCCGGGCCGGGCCGGGCCGGGCAGGTGATGCCGCCTCCGCCGCGGCCGGGCCGGGCTGGGGGCCGCGCTTCCCGCCGCGCTTCCCGCCTCAGGGCGGGGAGGCGCCTCGGCCCCTCTCCCTCCTCCCGCCCGCCGCGGCCGCGCGCTGCAAGATGGCGGCAGCAGCGGAGCGCGGCGCGGAGCCGCCCGCGGAGGAGCCGCCGCGCGGAGCCGCCGCCGGGGCTCGGCCGCCGCCGCTGGGCGCCGAGGAGGTGGCGCGGCGCCTGGGCAGCACCCGGCGCCAGCTGAGCAACCGCCGCAAGATCCTGCTGCGGAACCTGCCGCCCGAGAGCAGCAGCCAGGTGCGGGGCGGCGCAGGTGGCCTGGGGCGCGGGGCGGGCGGCACGCGCCGCTCCGCGGGAAAGCGGCGCTTGGAAGCGCCCAGCGCGCTCCCCGAGGAAAGTTATTTAGTGTTTTTTTTTTTTTTTTTTTTNTTTTTTTTTTTTTTTTTTTTTCTTTCTCTCTCAGTCCGTCGGTGGTTTTGGAAGTTTCCCCCCCCCGCCCCGGTTATTGCAGTGCGGAGTGAAAAGCGTCGCGACCCCGAAGCGGTGCCCGTGGCGCGCGAGGCGGGTGTTGAAACGCTTGGTGTTGAAACGCTTGGTGTTGAAACGCTTCCCACGCACCGTTCGCCGGGTCTGGGGGTGCTCCCACCTGGGGTGCGCGTTTAGCCCATTACACTTGGTAAAAATACCCAGTTCTGGGTTTTATGTGGAAACCTCTTTGTACCTCATCCCGTTTTTCCCTATGGATACCCGCTTGGTACCCGGCTTGGCTGCACCGCAGGTACCCGCTTTGTGAGCGGGGATCTGCGGTGCTCCCATGGGACGCTCCCTTGGGAGCCTCCCCCAGGGCTCCGCGACCCCCTCCGGCCGAGTGGCACCCCCWGATCCACGAGGGCCGTGGCGCCTGCGGTGCTTTCCCCACCGCAGACGGGTGCCCGCGTGGAGCGGCTCGGCGCAGCGGGAGCCGTGGGCCCTGTCTCGGCACGCGCGGGCAGAGCGCGCTGCGGGGCAGTGTCGCAGCTGGTTTTGCTGCGGGGCAGCGTCGCGGCCGGGTTTGCAGCCGTACGGCGGCTTGGAAGCTCGCCCGCTTTGTTTGGAGGACGGAGAAGTGGCTCCGAGACCCGCRTCTTCCTCTCGATACACCGGACCCGCACGCTGCTCATCCTCGAGGGATCTCGCCCTGCGCGACGCCCGCAATACAGTGGGAAAAGGCGTTGCTTTAAAGCACGTCCCACCATATATGTTGGATATATCGCATATATAACTATATGTTAGCATATAGAGGTGGAATAATCACACTATGCGGAGCAACTCCCTCTCCTGGAGTGTCTTTGGAAAGGATAAGGATGTTTGTGGTCAGGATGTTAAGCATAACTGTATATTTGGCTGTCATGTTGCTTCCAGAAATTACCATGAATTTTAGCTTATCTTAAATTAACACCTTTGTTAAGTACCATGCAAAGAAGTTCTCTTTGCTGCTTTGCTGTTGRATTGGATTGTTGTTCTAGGAAAATCTGTTAAACTATCACACAGTTTATTCTCTCTAAAGAGAGAGATGACTATGAGCGAAAATGCTGCAGTGGCTTTCAGAATAGGATCTCCAAAATAATTATTAATCTTAGTTATTATTGCACATGTAATCTTCTGTCGTCTTGGAAGGCGATTTAACCTGAGTTAAATTGAGGTTTAAATACTTGCTTCYAAGGGCATAGGAGAAATGTATCTTAGTTGAGAAGTTTATGAAGTAGTAAAGACAGCTCTGTGGTCTTAGAAACCAAACAAATAAAGTTTCAGGTGCCAGAAGAGTTGCCATATGATTATGACAAGGAGGAAGAGGGTGGTCACTTTTGAATCTCGACAAGTTAAATTTCCCTCTATARATGTGTTTGGCAGCATCAGTATGGCTAAGAATATCCCGAGCAAGTTGTTAGGAGGAAGAGCAGTCCAGCACAAGCCCTCTGCAGTCTGCCTTTCTTAAGTCAATTATTGTTCCCTTATTAGCTTGGTTCCTCACATGTCAGAGGGAAGGGAAAGCAAATTAAGTCAACATTATTTAGAGCAGATTCTTCCTGCAGTGGCTTTACCCCTCAGTCACCTCAGGATTTGCTGGTGTTTAATACTCCTTCAAGCAATCTAAGTCAGGGAGCGAGTTGAGTGTTTTTTTGTCAAATCTGTGGTAAACATTTTTGTCACTGCCTTTGCTGACTGCTGTTCTTGAAAGCAAAGTCTCTGATTTGCAGTTTAGTCACTTTTATACTGACATACTGCAGCTAAGTGTTGCCAACTTGCTGCTGAATTCCCCGTGTTCATCCTCACCCAGTTCCTCCAGCGTAGCGCCTACACCGACCGTGCCCGACTCGGCCTGCCGAGATCTGTAAATCTGTGGAGTTTGAAGGTTTTTGCCTTAATACAGTGTTTGTCTCTGTGGAGACACGAACCCACGTTATCAAACATGTGGTTCCCTAAACTGACGTAGCTGTTGCTGTGATCTCTGTGAATCCCGACATAAAGGGCCATGGATAGCTGTACAGCTGTAGTTTTTATTACTTTTTAGATTGCTGAGRATATAAGATTATGCGAACATGAATTTGTTCTGGTCTGACTGAGAACCCCATAAGCTGTGTCAGCATTGCTAGTAAAACTGCTTACCAGATCAGCTCCTGCCTAAACTAATTCAGTGTTTTCSTTTCTTCCCCATCTTTTTTCTTTATCATTGTGTCCATGTGAAAGCTATATTAAAAACCAGTTCATTTTCCCTTTGTAATAAGGCACTCTTTCTTCTCTCAACCTGCCCTTCCTTCTCAAAAGCCATGAAAGATGCAATCAGGTGTCCCCTGAGAATACAGGATGCCAAGGGATTTATTTGGAGTGTGCCTCAGATGTTGAGGCAATATTGCAGCATTGACTACTGCTTTAAGGGAGAATTCAGGACAAGATTTGGGGCAGACGCCCTCCTGAATGGCAGCCTGGCCTTCTGTTAGCTCCCGACATGGAGAGCACTGCGTCGCGTGCCAGCCTTTGCGCTCAGCATGAGTAGAAGTTTGGGTATCCTTTTGTTACTCATCAACACAGAAAACTCTCCTGTCTTCACGGCTAAAATTAATGACCAACAAGGGCAACTCATTCCTTGATTCCTCTCTATGCTCTTTGCAGTTAAGGAGCAGCGGTGCAGACGGCACAGGTGCTTCATATAAGACGTTGTTAAGAAGTTAAGTTGTTAAGAAGTTAGTTGTTTTAATGCTCTGTCATTCTACTTTGGCACACCAGAATCTGAAGTCAAAGCATGCAGATGTTGGCAAGGAACCGGTGCAGTCCACTCTCCTGGATTTATTTTGTGCTTTGCAACCTGCTGTTGCTCTCCATGCGGTTTCCTTTTCCCACAGTGTCAGTTGTTCCTGATCAAAAGACAAATCACCCCTTCGAGTGATGCTATCTCTGTTGGTCTCAGTTCTCTCTGGATTAACTGGCACAGTTTTTCCTTGTTCCTTTTTCATGAAAAGACTTTTATGAGCTGTGCTGCTCTGAGGAGCTCTCTCTCTTCCACATGCATGCCAGACACTTTTCTGTCTCAGTTTGTCTTCTGCCACTCTGACCAGCCATCARCAGCTTCCTAGCTGGATAGGAGGGGTGCTCACGTCTTAGGAAGAACACGCTTTCTGATTTTCTCTTTCCTACTTTCTTTTCTTTTCCTTTATTTTCTTTAACTTCTGCCATGTGTTCTTGCTCTTTCTTGTTGTTTCTCTCTCTYTCATATATCGTTTAGTTCGCATGCACTCTTTTCTGCCTGGTATTAGTGTGCTGGTAGAGGAATACTTCATCTGCAGACCCTGGAAGTGTAGAGGAATATGTTTTCCATTCCTCATCCAGGATGAGTCTATTGGGAACCTCTTGTTCTTCTGTCTTAGTGCTTTCTTCTGTTACTATATAGAAGATCTGAGAAGTGCAAAGGTCCTACCGAAGTGCACGCCAGTTCGTAACAAACAAGATGCCGCTGATGTAGTATGTCCCCAGGGCACGTTATGGCCTGGAATTACAGACTTGATTTTGTTCCTGGTTTTGTTGTATGTGGCCATTTGTAGAAACGGCGAGGGAGAGCTCTGAGCAAGAGCTCGTGGCCCCACTGGTACGGTCGCTATTCCTGACACCGGGCAGGTGGGAAAGCTCGCACACGTCTTGGACTTGCCCCAACAACCAGTCCTTGTTTATGAGTTTTCTTAAAAGCAGTGATGAGAAAAAGTTCTGTTTTTTTAAAAAAAAGTGCATTTCTCTGTATGAGTTTGTGTGTGGTTAGCGTGGAGAACCCAGTGCTTGCCTGAATTTTTGCTTGCTGGCCTTAAATACTAGGGAGCAAGGGAGCTTTACTTGGCAGCTGATGTCTCACTGGTGGAAGCTGAGGAGCTCTTTCTCTGCTGCYGTGAGCTGGCAGGGGAGTTTAAACTTGCACCAGTCCTTGTGTTTTGGTATGTAGAACTGTTGTTGGTCATATCTGCTGCCTATAAACCACACTTCTTGCTCTCCAGCACTTTTTCTGTGGCRTTTCCTCAATAACAGATTATTTTAGATTGTATTGATGTTCTTCTGCTTTACTCCCATTCCTCACTGCAAACTTCATGTACGTCCAGCCTGAACTGCATGTGTGGTCATGGACTCAATGTTTTTATGGCCTGAAGTATTTTAATTTAATGATACCCCTTTACTGCATTTGTAGAAGTAAACTTGAGTTTTTTTCCCCGAGACATCTTCCTTTTTCCTGCTCTGCCTACACAAAGCAGGGGGAAACCTGTCTAGTTGTGATTTAAATTGTCTTGACTAGCCGAATATATTATTTGGTGCAGTTAGTTTAAAAAAAAAAAAAAAAAAAAAAAAAAGAGAGAGGAAAAAGAAAAGATATGAAGATATTAAAGAGATTCTCATTTTTAGAATATGTGTTTTTTGAAGTTTAGGCCTTCAGCTACTTACTAGGAGCCGAGTAACAGTGTTTATGTTGGAAATGCCACTGGAGCTTACGATAGAAACCTTGCCAGGCACCATTATAATGGTTTAACGTTTTTGTTGCCAGAATAACATAATTCAGTATTTACATCCAGAGAGAAAGAAATACTTAGTTTTAGGCTGCCGTAGGCTTTATATACAATAGGTTGTGCCAGGTGATGACTAAGTAATTCTCGCATCTATTTTTGCTTGCAGCCCTGGATCCTTGGTGTGACAAGCTAATTTTATTAGAAATGATATGTGGAGCTTTCTTGACTTGCTGGCTGGGGCAGCCGTGTCTCTAATGCCTGCTCCTCTGTGTGCTGCTGGTAAAGGGAGCAATGAAATACAGAAACGGTCCTCTCGAGGCAACGCGTGGTTGTCCTTCAAGAGATGCTGATTTTGAACAGATAATGCACTGTGAAAACTCGTGTTGATAGTTTTTATACACGAGACAAGTTATGACTGGCCAAGAAGTGAAATATTTTCAAGATTACTCTATTTCTTAGATTAGTAAATAATACATTTTACATTTTTTTTAAGTCTGTCTAGGCTGTGCTCACAAGCGCTTTCTCTTAAACTTTAGATTTACTATTTGTTTTTTCTCTTTCTGTGCTCCTAATGAAGTATGAGGTGATACTTTAGTTTTCTCTAGCAATTAGATTAGCCAGTTTTGGAAGTTTATTTTGAATAACTTTGAAGGTTTAAGGGGCCGTGTAATAACTAAGCATTATTGGTGGCATTTGTGTCCCAGGATGTGTAGCTGGGGCTCCTGGCACGGCCCGTGTGTTTATGCGGCCGCCGCTGCCCTGAGCGAGCTCCTGGTGCTGTTCTCCTGCAGTGTGTTCCCGGCCTGGGATCCCATGGGAGCTGCCGCGTGCCGGTTTTCCTTGGCGCACGCGGCACCATGCGGAGCGCTCTGCTCCTCGGAGTGCAATTACCGAGAGGCAAGATGCACGTCGCTGTAAACAGCGCCTGTGTTGGAAACTGCACGAGATCCCTTACTGGGATAGCTCTGGGATCCGTTCCTGGGGTAGCTCTGCCGGAGAGCGTTATGGCAGCTTACGGTTTGGGTTGCCAAAATGTTGTCATGCAGGACAGTTGTGAGCATACGATGCTCGTGGCAGCCAGACCTCCCTGTGCGTGTCAGGGGCCAGGGCAGTTGTGCTTAGACTTTGGGTGATTCAGTGGAATCGTTCATTCTTGTGTCAGTCACGTTATTTAGGCTGGTGGATTCATTCAGCATTGCAATCCTGTGCYGTGCGCTCCAGCTGCTGGAGAGGTGGGACTCAGGGATCACCAAGGGTCCCTTTCAACCTCGGTGATTATTACAAGGAAAGGATCCCTTATGGAATCACAGAAGGTTGAGCCTGGAAGGCGCCTCTGGAGATGATGAAGTCCAACTCCCCTGCTCAGGCAGGGCCACGTGGCGCAGGATTGTGTCCAAGCAGCCTTGGATATCTCCAAGGAAGGAGACTCCACACCCTTCTGGGCAACCTGTTCTAGTTCTGTGACCCTCCAAGTAAATAAGCTGTTCCTGATAACTGGATGGAACTTCCTATCTTTATGTTTGTGCCCATTGCCTTTTGTCCTGTCTCTGGGCACCATTGCAGAGTCCGGCCCCATCTCCTTGACACCCACCCATCAGATGGGTCCCCTCTCAGTCTTCTCCAGGCTAAACAGGCCCAGCTTCCCCCACCTCTTCTCACAGGARAGATGCYCCAGTCCCSTCCTYRTCTTGGTAGCTCCATCCTGGCCTTTCACTGGTAGCTCCATGTCCCTCTTGTGCTGGGGGGCCCTGAAATGGAGACCTCGTCCATATCCCCCATGGGTTATTTTCCCTCTGAATTAAAATTTCAAACAATCACTAAGAAATATCTGGTTCCCTGAGTGTTTTTAAGACGGTGTTAAGAACCATTTGAAATAATACTTCCTTTAACTTAATTGGCATATAGAACTTTTAGGATTATTCTTATAAAATAATGTATGAAATAGAAAAAATGGGACAATACCTCCAATGGCAGAGACTTCAGGATCACAATACACAGAGTTCTCCAAAGCTTGGGAGAAAGCCCCTTGTTTCGACAGTCTCTTGTGCTTTTGAATGAACTGCTATCATAATTCTCATTAGAGAAATGTCTGTGGTGAAAGCTCCTACCTGGCTTGAAACCTTCAGAAACCACATTCTGAAAAGAAGATGGCCAGTAGCCTGAGAAGCACGGCCATATATTATTGATGTAGTATTTGACAGCTGTTAGCTAGTGAAACTAGAGATTGGTGTTCACTTGACTAAAAGGTGTACACCTGATACCAGCCAGATAGGACCCAATTAACCTCCAAGTGGTTTCTGTTGAATTGGCAAACCTGCAGGAGGACTGGAAATTATCTGCAGTGACAGATAAAGTTTGTTCATTAGCCTGTGTTTTGTTCTGCTGTTTGTTTTACAGTTTTGTTTAACCCAACTGAAAACTAAATATGTCCAAATTACTACTGACTGCCTCTTGTGGAGGCTGATTAATGTTTCTCTCTTGACTCTTGCAGCTGAGCTGATAATAGTCCGTGTTTTTTGTGTGGTTCCTGTGCATACGTTTTGCTGTGGGACACTAGGACACAGCTTCTTATTTTCCTCCCCTCCATGTTTCTCCTCCCTGACYCATCCCATTGCCCTCCTCTTTCCCCCTTAGCTACCCTGAGCAAATGAAGTCAAGGGGCTTCGTCATTGACCACCTGCTGTTGATAGAGGATCCGTCCCAAGGGGCTATTCCAGGCAGAGCTCATTGCTGGTGGAAAGAATACCCATTATTAAAGGAGCGAAAATCTGCTAAAATGAACTCGAGCAGTTAGAGGCAACTAGGGTAACTGTTGCGTTTGGTCATGGCCTTGCCTGCCCTCAGTAGACTGCGTGATGAGCTGCGGCTGGTATCTGTAGCCTGTGTAATGTTTTAACTATGCCAGCTGTCCTTCTGAGAAATTGTGTGTGTTTTTCCTGCATAATGAGCTGTGGTGTAGCTCATCTTTATCAAAAGATAGCCAGCAAGACACCCTGTTGTGCCCATGTGCCTTCACAAAGTGAAAAATAAATTTATCAAATCCAGTAAGCTCATTCTTCATGTGAGATATAACATGGCTGCAAGATTATCACAAACACTTTTATAAGCAAATATTTGACAGTGTTTCCATGGTGACATTTTTCTGTTTATTGGGAAAGTTTTCGTACAAAAAAAATGAAGCTACATTTGTACATCTATTTATTAAGTCAGGTGATTTTTTTTTTCTCATTTTTCTTGTACTTGTCTCTTCCAGGAAATCCATGACTTATTTAAAGATTATGAAATAAAGTACTGTTATGTGGACAGAAATAAAAGAACAGGTAAGAACTTAACTTCTTCCAGTATCATATATTTCAGTGCTGTAAGGAAGTTAGGGAAGGACATCTGCTGGTTTGCCAGCACATCCCCCCATTACCTGTGGGTTTGTTGGTTGCAGAGTCTATCAGCTTCCACCAAAGTCAGGGGGAATCTGGAGAGCTTCTTGAAGTTGGTGAGAAATCCATTGGCCCACTATGGTGTATTTTTGGTGTATTTTTCCATTTTGGAATTAATTTTCTAGATACATTCACAGATTTCTACAGCCTTTGAGACATAGAGCTGGACAAATGTTTCTCTGTGCAACCTTGTCCTTCCAAGTCACCCTGGGTACCATGCACTGCAGCCTGRCATCTCATGGGGTGACCTTGTGCTCTCTGGCCAAGCCTCAATGCACTGTCAGTGTCAGATTTCAGGCAGATTTTGCCAGGATAATGGTGTTTCTGGCTCCTGAAGCAGAAGCTTGTGCTTCAGGGTCCCGTTAGCTTGCAAATTTGATTTTTGAATTGCTGTAAAGCAAATTTGTGGGGGGAGGCACTGCAATCTGCTGTCCATCAACAGTGACAGATATCTGTTCAGTTGATGGGCATGCTTGGAAAATACAGCTGGCTGCAGCTGCTGGGAAAGTGAGGTGCATTCTACCATACAAATCTAGATCCTCTCRTATATAACTGATTTTTACTACATGCATATTCATGTTGGTTTGAGAGCGTGTATGTGTATATACCTCTGTGTGTGTGTATATAACTTGCATATTCCTGTCATTTTTTGTATGGTTTACTGTGTGCATCTATTCTGCTGGCTGAAGTTCACTGCTTCTGCTTTTTCCTTCTCCTTTTGATAGAATAAATTATGTTATTTCAGAATTCAGGAGACTGAAAGCAGCTTAATTTCACAGAGTCTTAACATGTGGCTGTGCAAYCAGCAAAGGTTGTCCTGAGCTTCTTGGCTCTTCAAGCTCATGCTCTTAATATTAGAGATTATTTGTGAGGTTAGTAATTTTGCTTTGCAGATTTGCTAGTGGTTTTGACTGTGTCTCGGTGTGGTTACCCGTGGTTATTCTGTCTTGTTTAAATAAGTATCAGCCCATGAGAACAGTCATCCACTCAAAAGATATGCAGTGAAGTATGAATTGTTTGTGTAGGGAATTTCAGTAGTATCGATTTTTTGCTTGTTGTTAGATACATTTCATGTCGTTTTAGTTTGATGGAAGTAGGCAACACTTTGTAGAGCATTGTGGTCTTTTGAATGAGATCAAAAATTCCTCAGAGTAAAAGCAATATTTTTACTTTACTATACAAACTTATTTAAAATAAGTAACGAACTTACAGAAATAGCAAGAAAGCTAGTTTTCCACATGTTTTCAAGACATTTATCTCAAGAAAAAAAGAAGAAAGGAGGATTTTAAAACTTGTTTGTCCTCTGTCCATGCCTGTTGTGTAACCGTTCCTAGAATATCAAAAATTATCCCATTACAGATGTTTTGCACTACCRAGTCAAAATACTGCATTGTACAGCAGCATGGATTGCTTCCTATTTTATATCTGTTTCAGAACCAGATTGCCCATTTTCCTGCCATCTTGCCATTATTTGATTACTGATACATCTTTTGAATCACTACAGATTGTAAAATCCACTGCAGACTCCTTGTGTTTGCACAGGCTGATTGCTTGCACAATCCATAGCACTGTTCCCTGGAGCAGCAGAGCTGACATCTCAGATATTATGTGTTTATCAGTACGATTATGCTCAGTTCTTTATTTGCTTTGTGGATTGATACAAGATAGTCCCATTTGTGGCACAGTCCAGCTAGGACTTCGAAATACTCTGTGGGTGTTTATATTTTATTTAGAAGTGCTCTTTAGCTTGCTGTAGGGTTTGATTATTTAGCCATGAAAGAAAACATTATCATTTTTGCCTCTGAATAGTGTCATGTTACGATTCTCTTTCTTTTTTTTTTTTTTCACTTGTGCAGTGGTATTCGTAGAAACACATGATTAATAGGTGCTTGAGAATAAAAGATGTTTTCTGTTCAAAGAATAATCTTGCAACCAGAGCTTCCTGGAGTTGAATTTCAGGAAGCGATCCTATTGCAAGAGGATAGGCTTTGGTGTGACTAGCACAAATTTGCCCGGAGTCATTTTGTGGTTTATTCATAGCAAGGATCAGGGAGAGAATTGCAACAAAATAACTGCGCTTAAAAAGAGAGAGGGAAAAAAAAAGTGTTAGGAACCAGGACATCTGATTTAYGACTGTGAATTCTGAGCTATTCTTAGTTTTGGGATAGTTAAGAATACCGAGCGTATTTTTTGGCTTGAGTTCCTTCTACAGAAATGATAATTGCAAAGCGAGGAGGAAAGCATTATTTATACTTGTTTCTGGACAACTGAGACTCCAAATTTGGTTACGGGGYAAGAAAACTCGGTTACCGCCGTTTCCAGGCTGCGGTCAGAGTARGCAGATTGGGAAGGGATTAAACTGTCCTGCTTGACATGTGGGACCTGTGGGGAGATAGTGCATCCCCCAGGCCTGATGCGATGTGGTGKCCAGCGTCTGTTACCCCAGAGTGTGACTACAAGGGCATTTTAAGTAGTCAGGTTCACAGCACAGCTCCATGTTTTCTTTACTTACCTTCTTCAGGTTCAGAAGTGTTTGTATTTGATGTATCTGCATACATTCATGGCTGTAATGCAGGGCGAGATACCTTTGCTGCRCTTCTGCAAGGTCAGCCAAGACTTTGCAGAGATCCAGAGGAGAGATTTTCCTCCTGGAGGATAAGGGTCCCTCTCGTGAGCATCACCAAATAGGCTTGGAATAGACTCAGCTAACAAACTGAGTGCGCTGGATTATTTCAGGACCATCGTTGGTTCAGATTAATCTACCCCTAGGGGTGTGAGTTCCTCCGTGTGGCAGACGGTTGGGTGGCATTTGTGAAGTTTCAGGCAAAACTGGGGCTGAGTTTGAAGGGAAACCCTTGATTCCTTTGGTGTGGTAGCTTTCTAATGGTCTAAACACCATCAGAAACCGTTTATCAGCTGCTCAGAGAAACAGTGCATTTTCTTTATCCATTCAACAGACATATTTCAAAGCAACACTAACCTTCCAGCCTCTCATATATTAGGCCTATAGGTTGAAGACTACGTATGACATAGAATAGAAGATACTATTGGAATATCTAGACTTTCAATGTTGCCCTTTCTCCTGCTGTTTTAATGATATTTTCCCTCCTGGTTTCATTGTCCCAGTAATGAAATTTCAAACAAACTAGGTAYGCACAAGTGTATTTGAGATATGCATGAACTTGTTTAGAGTAGTTAATGTTTTAATTTGAAAATTTTTGAGTAATTCCCTCTAAAAATCTGATCTCTTAGAGAGAAAGGGAATTGTTAAGAAGATGCTGCAAACTTGATACAGTGTCTTTCACACGTTTCTGTTACATTGATACCCAAGTTAGAATGTTTTACATGCCTTAAGGACTTGAGACCTAAACAAGATTCAGTACCCACAAAGGGAGAATTTATGGGTGCTGTCCTCAAAGAATTTCTGTTGAGGCAGTAGTATGTTGACCGCAGTGGAAAACATCATTATTCTTTACCAAATGTGAAATGCTGTGAGATACCAGGTCATGAGGTTGTATATGTTTATATACACATTCACGTTTAAAATCTTTGAGTTAATTGAATGTATTGTCCAGTTGATAATGGCAAATTTTAAAATACATAAATGTATAAATGGCAGCATTCCTGGCTCTGTACTGCTTCATGGTAGATACAGAACTCCTGTATTTCTTCTGTGGCTTCCGTTGGTGGGGTTTGGGTGGGCATGAGGTTGAGTCAGGCTGTTTTAAGCACTCGTGTAGCTGGAAGGARACTGTGGTAGTTAATGTTATATGTTTTGGTTTTGGTCTTTTGCAGCGTTTGTTACTCTGTTAAACGGAGAGCAGGCTCAAAATGCCATTGGGAAATTTCACCAGTATCCTCTTCGGGGAAAAGAAATATCAGTGCARCTCCAACCAACAGATGCTTTGCTGTGCATTACCAATTTGCCCATCTCCTTTACCTTGCAAGAGTTTGAAGAACTTGTGCGTGCGTATGGCAACGTGGAGAGGTGCTTTTTGGTCTACAACGAAGCCACCGGCCATTCGAAGGGCTATGGCTTTGTGGAATACATGAAGAAGGACTCYGCTGCCAAGGCCAGGCTGGAACTGCTGGGGAAGCAATTGGAGGAGAACACGCTCTTTGCACAGTGGATGGATGTTAACCAGCTGACTCCAAATCTTATTCACTCCAAGTGCCTTTGCGTAGATAAATTTCAAAGAGACTCTGCTGATCCGAAAGAACTGATGCAGACTTTCTCACTAAAGTATAAACCTGTGTTCTGCCAGGTACGTTGAGTTTACAGCTTTTGGAAGACTGAGGTTGTGATTTAAATAGCTCTGTGCATACTTCACTGCTTGCTGTTTTCTCTCTTTATTTTTCATTTAAGCAGCGAATGGCTGTACATGTGGATTGCAATATATGATGTGGCCCAAATGTTTTATTGGTGTGGGTTCGGTGGTTGGTATTTATTRCCTGGGAATTCTGCAGGAGACCGCTCCCATGAAATGCCAGGAACATGTTTCTAATGCACCCGTTTTCATGTATTTTATTGAACGCTTTTTCGGAAATATTTTACAGCTTCTAAAGTAAACGTTAATAAATGGTTTTATTGAGCCACAAAGAAATCCACGGGCACTGAAAGTGCAGCTGTGTAGATTGTGAAGAATTATGGGGAATATATGGAATGAATACCTGTTAGAAAACTGACACCATCTAATGTGTTTTTTCCCGTGGCTTGGGAATCTCATAGTTGCAGGCATGCTCTACACTGAAGGGCTGCATCTTCTGGGAAGCTCGAGGGTTCAGAAGAGCTCAGCTCATTGTTGTCTCTGCAAGTGTAGGAGTTTCCTTCTCATCGGCCTGGCCTGTGAGATGCCTAAAGGACACAGAAAACATTGCTGGTAGAAGCACCGCAGTGCACCGTAGGCAGCAGCAGGGAAGCTGTGTTTATAGGCACGCGTTTGGGTATGATTTCACTTGTTTTTTGTTTTATTAACTGTCTCGGAAGGCTGCTCAGGGATTAGCTTCGAGGATAAGAGCCAGGGATTTTGAGCATCTTAAGAGCAGGAGGTCCACGAGACTGTCTGGTCAGACCACCTGCAGACCAGCACATCTCCCCAGGCCCTCTTTGGGGGAATGTGCACTTGGCTGAAGCCTGGCCTTGCCCGGCCTTTTTCCAGGCGCATCCAGAGGCGGATGAACGGCGAGCGGCCCTCGGAGCAGCCGCGCGGCCCTTGTGCTGCGCTCCTGGCTCCGTCCCCTCYGCCGGCTCCAGCTCTGCTCCGCGGGTGCCCGTGGGGCCTGTCCTGCCCTGCCGAGGAGCCTTCGCCGCCTCCTGGTTGCGTCCTGTAAGAAGGTATTACTGTAATCAAGTCACTGCGCAATCTGCTTTTAATTAGCTGGACAGATTGATCTTTTAAAGCCTTTTACTGCAGGCCGTCTCCCCAGCTGTCAGATAATCCTGCGGCTGTTACCAGCTCCCCCAACAGTTTTTTCAGTGTCCTTTTAAAATTATGGAGTTCAAAGACTAGCAGATTTCTTTGATAAAGCCTGTTTTCCATTACACTGTTGAACTCTGCAGTTAGAGGATTCTTAGTTGAACTCGATAAAACCTTTTTCTTTCTTTTTSTGTTTTGTTTTGTTTTATTCCAAAGTATACTTGTAATCCTTTTTTTTTCTTTTTTTTCTGAAATATTTTTGTTTCTCCTCTATTGAAAATGCACCATCACAGAAAGGAAACAGAGATAAAGGCAGATATTTATGCCTGGTTATTAGATATGTGGCATAGCCTAGGAGGGGCTTACAGGAATGTCTATATGATCATCCACTTTGGTGCTTTACTGAAGGGGACAACTCCTCATTCCTTTCACGGTCACCCTTAAATTGTAACTAGGAGGTCTCCATTGGTATTTAGATAAGGGCAGAGGGTTTTTCTTCAGTACCTGTTTATTTGGAAAGTTTAAGTATTGGAAAGTATCCATTTGCAAAAATACTAGCAAAAATATGTAGCTATCATAGCTACATTTTTACATATTAAGGGAGTTGTATATAATTTTTTTATATATGTGTATAAATGCATATGTGTGTGTGTTCTCCACAGCTCTTCTGAGGATACTCTTAACAGTGTCGCTGTATATTTGACGACCTTCTTTTTCTTCGAAGTCGTTGAGATTTATATTTCAGTTGTTACTACACTTTAAAATTTGCAGATTGTGGGACCAAATAGCTGGGAATAGGTTGGGGKTTTTTTTTCAGTGAAACGTGCAGGAAACTTTCAGTGTCCCTGTTTGTTGGAACAAATAGCAGCATATAATTTCTGTTCATTTTGTGACTGAACACTTTTGCCTAAGCTTTACTCCCTCCCTCCTCACCCCTTTTGTGTTTGGCTTAAATCTGCTCATTCTGCTTTAAAACTCTTCAAACAAAGGACAGAGCATTGTCTGACAAGTAAGCCTGTTTCCAGTCTAATTGATTGATCGCTCTGGCATCTTCTGCTGGCGTTAAATAGAGCCACAGACTTCACATCGTCCCAGAAGGCAGTATATGTCACCGGAATTCACCCTGTTACATGTTTCAACAACTACCACGTCGTATTTTGAATGGCGTTTTTGTCAGTGAAGGCTTAGATAGGCTGAACAGTAAAGAGTTTGTAATTCTTACCCTGCAAAGGATAAGAAGCATGGGGCTGCATTTAAAAATTCCTTCTCAGCATTTCTGTGCTATAAAATAACTGTTAAATACATTTCATAGCTCAGGTTCTCCATGAGATTAGAAGGAAATGACAGTGGTAATTCAAATAGATGCAAGATGCCTGCCAAATATAATGTGAAGCAATGATATTCAGGTTATATTTACCACGTTTGAGAAAGAGGCATCTTAATTTAGGTAGGTATTAACATGGGATGTCGACAGGTTGCCAAGTGTTTTGCAGGGGCGGATGAAAGTACTTCACGACAAATCCCTGGAATTCTGCATTTTTKTGTTCAGTGCATTATGGCATGTTGTTTCAGTTTGCTCAGGATGAAGATAGTTGTGTTGGTGACTTTGCAGTGGTGGAGTACGAAACTGCAGAGCAGGCCGAGAAGGTGCAAGAAGCCACCCATGGCATGACCGTGAGAGGGAAGAGGATCCAGGTGTCCTACTGCGCGCCGGGAGCGCCGGGCAGGAGCACGTTGGCCGCGCTCATCGCCGCGCAGAGGATGGTGAGAGGGCCCTCTTGGCAAATCCTGAGTGCTTGCATGCATGTGCTGCGTGTTCATGTGCACCTCTGAGCAAGCAAAATCCATGTGACGCCTCCCTTGTGCTGGTGGTGGTTGGTTGGCTGAGTGACAGCAGGAGAAAACCTGATGAAACATGAAGGCTCCAAGCACGATACGCTGGAGAGCAGCTCCATGAAATAACACTGAAGTCTTGTGTTTGTATTTGTGTAAAGACTGGGAGTACAAGCTGTTAACAGGATAAAATCAGTTTCTTCARTCCACCTTCAAAATGAGTTGCCTGTGCCTTGAGCAACCGGAGTTGAATCAAAAAGCTTGAGCTGCATTTGCATGGGGAAAATCACGGAGTTTTCACAAGCATCAGCCAGCTCGTGTGCCGAAGCAGCCAGTTTCAGTCTCCTCCCAGGGCAAAGCAGAGCCATGTGCTGCAAGGAGGAAGGGCAAATTATAGCTGTAAGATACCACAGAGTTACACTTACGTAGCTTTGTGATTTTTCATAAATATAATTTTCTGTGAGAGGAGTTGTTTCAATTCAAAACAAGAGTAAATGGAAGGGGAGTCATTCCAAGAGCTACAATTTGGTTTAAAACAGAGTGACAAGGTGTCAGTTTTAAAATAAATTTCAAGGTAGTAGAAACGGTTTAATTTCATGCTCAGTATAGAAGAAGGCTTTCRGCATCCACATGTCATATCAGATGATTTCCTAGAAAATTGGATGTGATAAGTGTTACATGAAGCTGTCTAGAAAGTAAAGCACAACCTTGCTATACATCTTTATAGAAGGAGAGATGAGTGGAGCTATTGTAAGAGAGCATGTGTTGTTCATGTTAACAATGCCTTTTGTATCCTCTTATATTGATAATGCTTTCTTGTGTAAGGGGGGAAAAAAGAAGCGGGCTCTAGGGAAAAATAGTAGGTTTGAAGCTTTTAGGGAGTAATTAGGAGTTTTGTTTGAGGGGAAGGAGCATAGAAAGGAGCATGAAGCAGGGAAGGAGAAGAGAGGTRGGTTTATTTTTGGGTGTAAAATGAAATGTGTATCTCAGTGTCACACAAGTATGAGCTCTTTATGGTCTGAGAAATAATAATTCATAATGTGAACATTGCTGTGTTGATTTGTGATTAGACTTCTAACTACTGCAAAATCTGGGAGATGGAGTGAGAACATTCAGGAACTTCTAAGTCTGCCAGGGAGCAATGGGAAAAGTGTGAGAGCAGAAACGTAGACGYTTGTCAAGGGAGGACAACACTGGTTTTAGCAGAGTAAAGAGATATATTTTAGCATAGTAAAGAGATCTAGCGCGATATATTCTGTTAGTTGCACAGAAATAAAGTAGTTTAGATTTGGGATGTGGATAATTTGGCTCAGGTTCTGCATCTTATTCAACAAAATAGCAGTTATGTGGGGATTTAAGTGTATTCTTTGTTTCCCTCTGACCCTAACGTTTCGATATCTCTTTTCRTTTGAGATGAGGAACAACAGGAAAGGATTGCTTCCAGAACCAAATCCAGTGCAGATCATGAAGAGCTTTAGTAACCCAGCAATGTTGCAGATGTTAATGCAGCCCCAGTTGCGTGGACATGCTATTAAACCTGGTAAGTTTTTTAAASCTGAGATTAAAAAGAAACCCTGTGCATAGTGAAGGTGCTTTCAGCAAAGGAAAGAAGCAGGAATAGTGTGTAAACAGTTTCTCAGTGTGCCTGTGTAGACACCTTTTCATTCTTAATGAAAGCAACAGCAAAGAGGATTGACRGGGTAAAATCTGGTGTGTGTTAGAAATACTTTTGCACCAACTCTGGAGTCTCTGAATTCTTGTATTAGAAGCAGATCTAAAGTGAAATCTCTTCTCCAGACATGATCAAAATTGCAAGTTTAAATCTGATTCCAGATCTGAACTTTACAGCCTGGAGTCCTGCATCKTAAGTTCATACTATTTTTAAATGATTATTCAGACTTGTGTGCTGCTATAGTTATGCTTAACATTTCATAAGAAAAGCAGGAGCCCAAAACATTTCTTTGAAGCAATTTGCTTTCTCAATACAATGAATGTGAAAAAAATATATATATTAAGAGCAATCTTACTACATTTCCAATAGTGGAAGTRCTGGGAGCAAGAACAGGAGCAGATAATTTGGCAAGTGGGAGCAGTTAGGAGTGTGTGACACAGGTACTGCTCTGTTTCTCACTCTTCAGTCTTAACAGCAGTCCACAGTTTTTCATAGGTGTTTGTCACTGGCTTCTGTCTTCCTTTGAAAGCCTGTCATTTTAATGGTAGCTTTGAATATTCGGTCTCCTAATTTTCCCCAAATTCTCTATTTTTTTTTCTTTCTTCTGTAAGGCTTCACCTTTTATTGTGTTCATTTTTTCAGTGCTGTAAAACAAGTAATTGTACTGCTGGGAAGTCTTTGCTTTTATCTTAGCATTTTAATCCACTAACTTTTTTTTTCTAGCTTTGTTGTTTTGTCAGGCAGCCACTTTTTACAGTTTGAACATACTTCAGTTTTCACTGATGAACTCTGCTAACTTTCTACCTCTTTAGAGCTGGATAAAGAGAAGTATTGTATGAAGTGAGTGGATCATTCGAAGCACTTTAGCTAATGCTCTGGTCTTGCAGTTGGCTGCAGGCGTTTCTGCATCTTTGGGTAAAGTTGTCAACTTCAGAGGGGTTCCATAAATRCACATTTGATCTCTAATGTGCTGCTAACTGCAGATCAAAGCTGGGTACATTGGAAGGTTTCATTATAGTCATTGTTCCTATATTGGAGATTTTTGTGGAAACCAAATCTGAAAAATATGGAGTATTTCTGTAAAGACCATTTCCTGTCCACCTTATAAAAATCCTGTTACTTTTTCTTGTGTTTCCAAAACAGTTCTCGGAGCATCTGCAGGTTTACCTCACCTTATAAACACAACAGTTGGCCCAGCTTTTTTGCAGTTGAATAAAGTCCATCAGGTATGTCTCTTAACACAAAATATCTTTTATCAAAACAGTTATTCATGGAGATCTCAACATGAAAAAATATTTATTTTTTTCAAGAAACTTCAGCCAAGAGGTATTCTCATTAAAGCTGTCTCTTTAAAAAAAAAAAACCAAAAAGAAGAAAGAAAGAAAAGGCAACAACAGAGAAGAATTTGAACAAATGAGTGATTCACCACTAACTTTTTAGTACTGGAATTAGCATGACTTTTAACTCCTTTTAATTTTCTTAATTATGGCTATCATATGCTAACATAATGCATGTTAAACTTCTTCAGTGATGTGTTTTCCTAAATGACATGTCTGTTTACTGAATTTTACTAATGCAGGGACTTCCTTTTGCAGACTCTAACCAGTCAGATTTTCCACTCCAGTATTATCTCAATTGCAAAAGTTTCAGGAATACGTTTTCTTTGTTGGCACAACCAACTTTAGGAAGAATATCCGATACTTAGTGACAATAAAAGGCTGCAGATAATATCTATTAGAAATCTTCTATAAAATAGCAGGTGCTATTTTATATCCAGATATGGCCCTTTTTGATTTATATAGCTTATTTCTGAGCCTAGAATCTAACATTGTAGTGTCTAAGAGCCCCTTGTTCCACGTGTTGTTTCATTTGGAAAAGATTTGCAAAACCACAAAGGACCATTCCTTTAAGTGAGTGGCCACCCTACAGCCTTATAGAGGCTTTTTTCCCAAGGAATCTGACTGTGTCCTGAGAAGACACAACCCAACCTTGAAAATATTTGTGAGGTGTTATGAAGCTGGCCATAAAATATGCAAAGTCACACAGCACATGCGTGCTGAGAGCTGCCTTCTCTTCATGTACTAGCCTCATTATTGGTTTTGGGGTGACCTTTGCAAGGTAGGACATTTCAAAGAGCGAAGGAGGCAGCACTCACCAAGATTTCTTAGTGCCCCGTTTATCTCTTCTTGCGCTGCTGCACAAGGGATGAGCAGAGCAGCTTACGTTTTGCCTGGCAAACCACGCTCAAGAACTACTGCCAGAAAGATGGTTAAAAACAGTTTCCAGCACGTGTTCAGCTAGCATGAATCATTACGGGCTTTTGTGATCTGGGCTGGACAGAACTTTTCTTTCAGACCTCCCTGCTGCCCTGAGCACATGCCTGAAGATAAATGCAGCAAAGCAGAATTCCACCTCCACCCAGCCAAAAGGATTCTTAAGTGCCTGGAGTGTGGTGGCGAACAGCAATACAGAAACTTTGRATTGAGTTTATTTTGTAGACATCACAAATCACAGAGCAAATGAACTGACCATTTTTACATGTTTCTGGAAGAGAACTTAGCATAGATAGTTCCCATTAGAGTGAAGTAGGGGAGTGTATGTGGATATTCGTCTTTGAATCAATGATCCTATTTGCAAGGCAGGGATGAAAGTCCCTGCTAGTTATAACAGAGCCCAGAGCCTGTAGATTCCTGTGGAGCTGATGTAGTAGAAATGCAGAGCAAGGCACCTGGCATTCCCAGGGGAATCATTCAAATTTCTGTAAACAGTATTCTCTGCCAATGTTTCAAGAAGGTGCTRTTTTCCACGTTTCCCAGCTAATGTATCTTTCTTTAATTCCACAGAATTCAGTTCTGGGGAGTGCGTCTAATTTACTGCTGCAGAGCCCTCCTCACCTGCCGTTGCCACAGCAGCAGCTCGTGAAGATTGAGAACATCCAGGCTAATAGTGTAAGGTCATCACTGGCTCTGGCTGTCTTCGGAAATTCTTATAACTGGGAGAAGAAATATGTTTTGGGTTGTTTCTAATCTACCGTAATTTTGCTGTTGGCCCTGTCCAGGCAGATTAACTGAAATCTCTTAATTTGAAAAGTATAAGAAATAGCTGCAGACAGATTATTTTAATCACTTAAATCRCTTAAATATTTAAACACTTCTGTTCTTGCTTACAGAAACCGGGTTTGCTGGGGGAACCTCCAACAATGCTGCTTCAGACAGTGCTGGGAATAGGGGTGATGCCATCTGTGAGTTCAGGCATGGGAACGCGTGGAGAAGCTCATAAGTGTAAATGACACTTTATTTCCTACCAAATCAGCTTGAAATTATGTATTTTATTTTCTCCCACTTTAGCAAGTGCAGTAATATGTAAGGTAAGGACAGAGCTGTACAGTAATGCAAGTCATATAGCTATTCCCTGTGAAATGTCTGTGGATATTGCTGCTCTGATCATTTTTTTCCCATCAAGTGGCACAAAATTCGGGGCCTCCCAGTTATAATAATCTGAATTATTTTAGGGTTAAAAAAAAAAAGATGCAAACAGTGTACATATAACTATTTAACTGTTCAATTTCTGTAACAAATATGACTCCCTCCTTCTGAAGAAACTCAGAATATTTTAATTCTAAGTGTGTTATATTTACTCTGTACATTTTTAATTGATTTATAATAACCTTGTAGTAATATTTTTATATTGTTTATCCCACCCAAACTGCAAACAGTTAGAATGAGACCATATGTCCCAGCCACGCTTCTTATTTCTTGTGGCTAGCTAAGCCTGGCTGAGTTTCCTTGCTAGCTCAAACACCTTTTGCATCAATTCATGTCAAGTGAAACTGGCTGGGATGCCGTTATCTTAACTGAGTGCACTCAGAAGTCTCACTGTGAACTACCCCTCTTCCATTTTATGTTGAWTTTTGGCATAAAAGAGTTTCTTGCTGAATGCATTTGTCTTGCAAAAATACATGGAGATCAGTCATTGCATCTGGCAGCTTTTTGTCATTAAGTTGTTGCTACTCTGTGCATGCCTTAAGCAGGAACCAAGCACGAAGTATGTTGTGTTGTCTGGCTTCTCTCATCTGCTCACTCGGAGCAGGTACCCTGTGGCATTTGTTGAGCATTTGGCTGTCAGAAATTCTGCTTACWCAGTCACCAGTATTTTGAGTACATTTTCATGTCCTGCCTTTGATACCCATTTTGAATGCAAATTCCTAGGCATCAGAATGATGCCTTTCATTTTTATGAGCAGAGTTGAGTTGTGACACTGCACAGTGTGGCTTTTTATGCTACCTCCATTGAGAGCCACAGGTCCCCCAGCAGAAGCTGGAGCCAGCCCTTATTTAATACTATGTTAGCAGTTGCATTTTTGCTGGGTGCCTGGCTTATATTGTTAAAGCAATTCCCATCTGTTTATAGTTGTAGACATAATTTGATTAATATACTACCCAGTAGCAAATAAAAGCTTTCTGAAAGCTCTTTTTATTTTTTTTTTTTTAGAAAACTTTTTTTTCAGAAACCTATTTTGAATTTCTGGATTTCAGAGAATGCTTTCTGGATGTTTTGTTTGTAAGAGGAATTTTACTAATACCAGCTGCTGTTAGATTGTTTTCCCCGTATCCACCAACAAGACCTCTAGGATGTTGTTCAAAAGCTTTTTTAATGCTCGTAATTTGTTATGAAAGGGGCTGTTTAGAATGAGAATATTATCAAAAACCCTCGCAGTTCTCTTTTATAGAATTAGCTTTATTTAAAGCTGTTTGTTCCTGGGTTGCTAGAAGAATCAAAACAACCATCAGAACCCAGCACCCCGTGGCAGCTGTGAAATAGATCTCCCAATGTTTCCCTCCCCAACAAAAGCCACAGACAAAACCGTACGGATAAATCTCGCCCGGCAGAAAAGTTTCTCCATTTATGGTCGCCCGCAGCATCTAATCTGCCTCCAATCCCAACAGCAGCCGCGGGGATGGGCATGCTGCCATTCCTGCCCAGCCAGCACGTGGTCGGACAAGCGCTGCCCGGACACAACGGCGGTGGGGACAAGCAAGGGGCCGCCGAGGYGGCCGTGCCGGCGCCGCAGCCCTTCCAGCCGCGCGCGGCTCCCCGCGGGGCAGCGCTGCGGGCCGGGCTCGCCGCGCACCAAAGCCCGCTCCAAAGCCCCGACGCAGGCCTAGGGGTAAGGCGCGCTCCYGCAGCACCCGCGCTTGCTTTTGTCCCGCTGTTCCTCAGCTTTGCTCGCGTGGGGATTGAGGATTTGTGTGGCGGCGTGCTCTGGAGCRTACAGCTGCTTGCTGTAGCTCTCCACTATAAAACTTGCTAGATCGTAGGATCGTTCAGGAGAAGCTTTCAGTTATGAATTCATAACTGGGGTCGTTTCAGTTATGAATTGCAGGGAGAGAACAGCAGGGCTCTTTGGTGGTCCAAAGGACCTAACAAAGGAATCTCGTTTTCAGGGCTGGTTTTTTTCCCCCATGTGTATGCTTCATAGTGTTTGGTGATGAAATGATCTCAAGGGAAATGCCCCTTGACATTAATAAATAATAAAAGTGATTTCAGAAGATGATAATGAATGAAAAGGGGAAATATTGCTACACTTATGTACAGAACCACCATCTGGGGACCTGAAGGCCTTACGTACCAGCAGAATGGCTCCCGATGAGGCTCTACATTCCATCACAAGTTCAATTTTCAATCCTGAAAAGGGACATCTCCCTTGATATATTTCATCGTCAAATATTATATTTCCCCTTTTCATTTATTATCATCTTTCCAATCTGAAATCAGTTTTATTATTTATTTCCCCAAGCCTGAGGGGGAGTGGCTGAACCAAAATTGATTTTTTTTTTCTGTATTTCCTGCGATCAATAGAATTTGGTCCATGCTTTTGCTTTTTTTTATATGATGTACTTTGGCATATACATGGAAACAAGAAGATCTTATTTAATTCAGATTAGATCTCCATTTTCCTTACATTTTTTCCTAAAGCAACTGGAGTGACTAGATTCCACGGGGCATTGGTGGCTCTGTTCTTTACACAGCTCTGACAGATTTGGTCCTGTTTCAGAAAGGGCACTGTTTTATTTTTTTAAATCACTTTTTACTACAATGAAGAGTGATTCTGCATTTTTATGCCTGTGCTTTACAGGCATATGTATATCTACATATGGATAAAGTACCGAAGAGGTGTGTTTGTGCCTATAGAAAATCAGTGTGTGAGTTCAGTAGTTAGGAAGGAATGTGTTGTTTATGATGAGAAGTTCCTTTCTGGTAGATGTTCTAATTGTTTCCTTTTCCGCATCCGCAGACAGATGGCCCCATTTGCAGAAATCACTTCCTTAATAAGACATCCACCGCTTGCCCGCTGATACTGAACAGTCACCCTATCTTAAATGCCAGTTTTTGTGTCCAGATTAAGAACTCCAAGCTCCGCTGAAGTTTTCAGTGTTTGAAAACTGGGCTCACAGTTTGTGAAAAGCTGAAGATTAATGCTATTTCTTCAGCTTTTAAATAATGGGATCTTTTCCTTGGAAAAATCAGTGGACTATATCTAGCGTAGGCTGCTGCATAAATATCTTGGAGCTATGTATTTCAGACGGGCTATCTAACTTGCTTACCTGACCGCTTATTTCCACCCTATTTTTGGTGGCTTTTTCCAATGTTATRAACAACCCTACTGCTCGTGCATTCAACACAATGTTTGGTTGTACCGAGCCACATGGCCAGTGAAACGAGCAGCTCCTGGCAACAACTTCCCCCTCAGGACAGCTCTGCTCGTCCTTCCCATGAACTGTTTGTCTCTACCTACCCATTTTCCTCTTTTCCGCAGAGAGCCCTTCCCTGTCCCGGGGCCATTCCCCGGTTCGCTCCCCAGCCCTCGTAGGAAAGCGCCCTGGGTGCTGTGGAGAAGTGAGTCCGTCCTCGTGCTCCGTGTCTGCTCATGAACATTTTTCCCCATCGGAACGAGGGCTGGTGGACAGAGCAGTCGGGGGGCATCGGGGCGCCCACATTCCCATCTGAGCACTCGTCTGCCCTCCGTTTGCTCCATTTGCCTCTGCGTTTCGTTTGGCTCTGTACGTGCTGCCAATTCCCTTCATCTGTGGTTGCTGCAGTGGTTTCCAGGCATTTGCTTGAGTGTGTGGGGTTTGCGTTGCTTTTATTTTTTTGTGTTCCTCGGTAAATTAGAGTTTACAGAGACACCTTCCTAGAAAACAATTATTTGGCGAGGAAAATATCTAGGCAGTGTATTCAGTCAATGTGTCCCTAGTGTTTATGCAAAAAAAAAATCCTGTTGCTTTTCACAGAACTATACATTTTTTTCCCCAAAATCATGCTGGGCCTCATATCTTCTTTCTGACAAATGTGGGAGTATAAAGCATGCTGACACATGATACCTCTGCAATTATTTCACAGACTCCCTTGAAAAAACAGACCTCGCTGCTGGGAGAACCACCAAAGGAAATACGCCTGAGTACCAACCCCTACTTGAATTTGGCAAGTGTGTTGCCTGGTTTGTGTCTCCCAGGTAAGCCACCGTTCAGCAGGCCTCACAGGAAGTTTTCTTAACCAAAATGTGGCAAATTGTTACTCTGCTTGGCAGGTGATTTGAGTGACCACAACATTTGTCTTTAATGAAATCCTATACTCTGTCTTCACAGTGCAATATCCTTTATTCCCGTAATATTTTCCTCAAACCCCTGTGTTTGAATTTGAGTGCAGCACAATCAGAAGCAGCAGATTTCTGTTGTTACGCCAGAATATTGCCATGCTGGCATGTGCCAGGACTGAACGGTTTGAGTTGTGCCATTCAGGTGACCGGGTGTTGTTTGTGTGTGACCAGCAGCTGCCAGCAAAGCCTCTAGTCCGCCGCAGCAGACGGSACTTGCAAACCACATCTTCGATGCTGCTGCGTCTCAGGGAGCTGCATCACAACACGGAGCAGAGAATTATTTCGGTTACTCTCAGCAGCACGGGGAGTACACCCAGGTAAGAGGTTTCACAGCACTTCCCTTCTTCTGGAGCCTGCTTGGTCCCTCRGCGCTCTGGTAGAAGGTGTTCTGGCAGATTGCTCATAGAGCCCTTGTTTGGGGCCTAACGTTGGCTGGTGTTTTTCTCTGTGGACTTTCCAATGCCCCTCTTGGTAGACGGGCAACCTGCTAGGTGAGCATGGAGCTGGAGGGGGTTGCTGGCATCAGCAACCACCCTTGCAGGATCCAAGGCCTTCCTCCAACCTAGACCTTGAACATCCTCCTCACTGCTGGCTGGGAGGGCCACAGAAGAGATTTAGCACAAAGGGCACTTGATCCCAGTCAGGAAAAGCCTCTGTATGTTCCCTGCTGCAGGTCACATTGTTGGAAGATTGCTTTTCCAGAACCTGTGCTGAGTTCAGTACAGTCAGCCAGAGGGTTATTTTCATATAACTTCTGGCTTGGCCTGTGTTTCTCTTCAGCACCATGCATTTTTTCCTCTTTCCCTTCCCAAAGCAGTTTTCCTGGGCTTTGGCTACATCCCCGAGAGGAGTGTGGTCTCGGTACCAGAAGTTCTAGTGCAGCTTTGGGAATTTTTCCACCTTCTGCCAGTCGGTTTCGCTGCATAGGATTTCTTTACCATATGTAGCATTTGGTGATCCAAGTATGGCCATGGAAGTGGAGACTGCGCCGGATCAGAGAGCACTGACAGCGAGCGGTGAATTCCACGGGCGCCGGGACTCCTCTGTGTTCATTAGCCGTCACGGCTAATAGGGCTCTACTAGTAGGGCTGCTAATGACTGCGGGGACTAATAATACGGAATATGGCAGTGCAGATGATTTTAGCCGTATGCAGAGCACATATGGGAAATGGATAATAGCGCTATTGTAATTTCTATATAAAAGTCTTGGGGCTGCTCTGGGAAGCCCTCGTGTGGGCTCCGTGGGACAGGACCCCAGGGAGCGTTTGCTGCAACAGGCAGCTTTGCCAGGACCATCCTTCCAAGTTGGAATTCCCAATCRGGAATCCAGTGAGAGGAGCAGGAGAGATTGAGCTGCAACTACRGGACCTAGTCTGGAGTGTCTTGCCCAAACCTGATTATTAACTTCAGGTTTATTTTGATGCCTCCTRAAGACAATTCCCATCCCTAGGTCCTTAAAATCCTGTTTAAAAAATAGCACTATTGCACTATTTAATGTTATTTATGAGTAGCACGAAGGACACGGGCCGTGTCCCTGCGGTGCAGAGATGCTGCACATCCTTCCCCCTTGCACCCCGCGTGTGCGCCGAGACTGTGGGGCCTTCTGGATCTTTTAAGCACTTAACGTGGCTTTAAATGTTTAGTTTGAGCAGTGCTGCTGCTGAGGGTGTTCTGGTGCTTCTTGGAGAGCTCTGCCTTTAATCCATTCCCATGTCCTGCGAGGTGGTAGGAATTGTTCTCATTTAACTGTAGCAGGCAGCTAATGGGAAGAGATCTTTTTCCTTCTTTATAGGAGGCAGCTCAGCAGTGGTGTCAGCCTTATGCTCAGGTATATAACACTGCACAGGCCAGAGCAGGACTCTGAGGAGTGTTTTTCTGCCAGGCCATTGCATAGCCCTTGTGCAACCGATGTCTTTGTTTTGGTTTGGTTTTTTTCCAAGGAATTATGCAAAGAAATCCTACRTGGTGCCCGAGAAGGCGCTGTGTGCCGGAGCTGCTCTGGATTGCACACTGCTCCTTTCAGCAGCCGAGTGCCCTTGGGCTGCTGCCCTGTTGCACCAACGTGAATTACTGAGTGTGTTTTCTCTGAGCCGTCAGCGCGGGGCCCGTCCGCAGTGGGAGCTACACCAGGTCCCTGCGGAGGGGCTGCAGACGCCGGCGCTTCCCTGGGTTCTGCTGCCCCCGAGCGGCTCCGCGGCACACGGGCCGCTCCGGGCCCACACGTTGCTCTCCTTCCCGTGTGCACGGAGAAGCCAGGGGCGCTTCCCATGTCCCTGGAGGCAGGAGCAGCGCGCAGAGCTTCCCACCTGGCACAGGCTGCACTGCCCAGCGCCCAGCCCCGTTACTGCCAGGGAGAGGCTGGAGGTTGGGAGCAGAGTTCGGGGAGGCGGCGCCTGTGGGGATGACCCAGCCGATAAGGAGGTCGGTGAAGAAAGCATGAAGTGAGGAGGAGGAGGACGAGGAGGAGGAGGAGGGAGCTCACGCTGTTCCAGGTTTTCACCTGCCTTGTAGATGGGCTCTGTGACAGGCAGCGAGGCCCTTTGGGGTGAATCTCTGAAGTTGGCAGTGGTGGCAGCAAAACTGCTACTGGTTACCTGCTGTTAAGTAGGCCCTGGGAGAAAAAAGCCACCTGGGAAGTGGCTTTCACTTGAGGAGGGTGCCAGAAACCAGAGGCCAGTGTCAGTCAGGCCCACAGACAGAACCTGCTCTCTTGGGCCCAGGAGACCCTTTGGTTCCACCAAGGGGGAGATGCTGTGCAAGTAGAGAGCGGGTTCAAAGGAGGCCCTAGAGCCCAGGCTGGAAGTCCACGTAACGCAGACCGAGGTGATGGTGACGCGGGCCCTGCTCGCTCGGGGCTTCTCCTCCTCCTGSAGGTCTCGGGGCACAGTCTCAGGCCCCAGGTCTATCGCAGTGCTCCCCTTTTATTTACGGTGCCCGGCGCTCGCTCACGAGCCTGTYGCCCGCAGGTGGCCGCGAGCCGCAGCGAGAAGCGGGGCTGCCCGGCGCTCGTCGCCTCGCCGGAGCCCGGCGCCGCGCCGTGCCTGGCCCCGCAGCTGCCGGGCTCGGCCGCACGCTACGCCGAGTCCTCGCTGAAGAAGAAGCGCGTTTACTGACTGAGCCCCGGCCGCCGCAGCCGCTGCTATTTATTGCTGCCTTGGCTTCAGCCGGCGCCGCTTCCCACACGGGGCACGCGGATCCCCACGGAGCCTCCACACAGTAGCCGGAGTCGCCCGGCACCTGTGGGTGCCAGCGCAGCCGCCTCGGGGGGACTCCTGCAGGATGCACCCACCTTTCCCCTTCCGCATCCCGCCGAAACGAACAGCAGTCGGACACGCAGGAGGAAAAYAACGGGGTGAGTTTTAGCAACCTACCAGCCAAAAGCAATAAAAACACTGAGGATGGACCTCTGTCACGGAACGAGTGGTGGCAGGGGTGAGTTCCGTGACAACCTCGGAGCCCTGCTCTGGCTTTCAGGCTGAACACGTTAAAGATGAAGACATCGTGGTAGTAATTTTTTAAAAAACTCAAGAATGTGTTTTTTTCCACAATCTTGCTTTTTCCAGGATTAAGACCTCTGCATTTACAGCCTTTATATTTTTAATACTTGCTCTTCATCCTGGAATGAAGACCTACCCTGTGTATGTAGAGCCTCTGTGCTGTTTTCAATAAACGTTTGTTAAAAGCGAGCGGCTCTGCTGCGTGCTGTGTTGCACCATCGGAGCAGCCGGAGCAGGTAGGTGGGGGCCGGCCTGGAGGCTTCCTCCTCGGTCCCTCCTGATCGGCCAGGAGCTGAAACCTTTTGCAGGACTGAGTTAACGCAGCGTGACTGTATGTGTGTGGGGAGGCACAGGAGCGGTGCAAGGTCATGCAGCCTCCCCGTGCATCAGAGCAGGCTGCGCTGGCAAAGCCGGTTTGCTGGAAACGCATCGGGTCAGAGCCGCAGAGGTGCCACATGGTATCCTGCTGCTTTTAGGTGGCTTTTTTAGTAACTGATTTTTTTTTCTTGCATGGATGAAGTGCCCACGGCTCCTGTTTCTTGTCTGCTCCGCATCGCTGTAGCTGGCGGCTTGGAATTGGTTATTTCTGGTGTGAGAGTTGCAGGCAGGTCAGCTGTGACCAGGCTGCTCCAAGGCACCGCGACGGCCACTCCCGCTGCTCCGAGCCTGGGATTCGATCCCGTTAATGCCAAGGCCGTAAGGGCTGGCTGGCAAATTTAACCACTGTGCAGGTTCCTGCAGTCCTGTTAAGAAAATGAAAATTTTAAGAAAATGTCTTGGACGCTGCCTTTGAGCTCTGTGCTGTGACTGCGACATGCAGCTTTAAAATTTGTGTCTTTCTTTAGAGCGCTCCTACCCAAGGGGTGCCTCGCACAGGCACTGCGGGCAGCGCAGACACCGGCACTAGTCCCGTCGGGGGCTGCCTGCAGGGCAGCTTAGGGATGTTTCGCCTGCCTGCGATGCTACGTGTGTGTRCGGGTAAAATCACCTGCAGTGTTTGGTTGGAGCTGTGTGTGCAGGCAGCTTCCCCAGAGCTTTACCCTTGTCAGCAGAAATGAACTGCTGGTGACTTGAGCGGGGAAACATCGCCGGTAATCAGTTAATGTAGGGAAGGCGGCTTTAAAGACAACAGCTTCTGTTAACCAGTGGTTATACTTTAAAAAAGAAAACCTTCCTCGGTTTTATTCTTTGTTTTATTTACAATTAAAACAGGCACGTGGAGGAAAAAACAAAACAAAACAAAACTTTATTTAGCTTCGTATAAAGAGTAACAAAGTGCTTAGAGCTTTAAATCAGAGTCATCACGGACATACAGAAAGACAGGTAATACTGTAAAAATAAATCTGACCTGGTGGCAGCTCCTAATTACAGGGTTTATATATAATATATATATATGTATATATTTAAAGACATCTTTCAGTTATTGCCAGAATTACTTCCTCAGCGCGTTTTCAAAGCCAGGTTTGGTTGGGAAGAGGCCGGAGCCCAGGCGTGGGACGGGGCCAGCGCGAGCTCCCAGCTGCAGTGAGGGCTGCTCCGGCGGCCGAGGGGCCGGCCGTGCCMCCTGCAGCCCGCTTTACGGACCAGTCAAACCCCACGTGGCCCCAGTCTGGCCTCGCCGGCCTCTGGCTTTTACTGTCCCTYGGTGAACGCTTCTCAATTGCACGCTTTGAGTCCGTAAGTCAAATTMAAGTCCAATGCTGTTATTATTAAAGCCTAACTCTTTAGCACGCAGGAACAGTCTAGCTCCTACCCTCGCTTTTGGCCCGAGTGCTCTACAGCGACACTGCCAGAATTGCTTTACGCGCTGGCCAGWGCCTTGGCTGCGGGCAGCACCGGCGCGGCGGCCGCTCCGGCGGCGCCCGCGGGACACAGGGACCCGGCCCCGCGCGTCTGCTCCGCGGCAGCTCGAGCAGGTGGGGCTGCGGCCGGAGCTTGCGTTTGCCTAAGACGAGGGTTTTCTCCAGGAAATGCACTTAACGCATCCTGATGGATGCTTTGGGAGAGGAGCATGACACACAAATAATGTTTTTAAGGTGTGAGACCCACTCAGACCTGCTGCCTGACTTACTGCGCCTCCCTTGGTTTCTTTTTTTTTGGTCTTTTTAATAAAATTTAAGTGCACGTGGCAGCTGCTTGTCAGCCAGAATTTAAAAAAAAAAAGCTTTTTCAAGATCCCCGTAAAAATTACTGAATTGCGACAGTAAATTCTCTTGCGTGCCCTGATTTTGGTATTTGAGGAATATGCATGAACAACAAACTTGCCTTTTTAGAGGGTACATACAGATAGTTTATGTGCGCTGAGAACCAGAGCAGTTTTGAGACCATTCTTTCAGTTTGTGTTCAGCCAGGATACTTCAAATTGTAACTACCTTCATCAAAGAAAGATAAGAATGTCTTGCAATAACTGCAGCAAAAGGAGTTACCATTTAATTAATTTGATCCAACTGTTGACCAAGTTAAAATAAAAAAGGAAAACTGTTGGAAAAAGAATCCTTTAAGCACATTAGCACAGTCAGAATACAAATTACAGTAGTTAAAAAATGAAAGATCCAGGGCATTTGTATATTGACACACATTTGAAGTACTGACAGTATATTGAAAAAAAATTACATTTTATTCATAATTATTTCAAATGCTTGAATCAGATTGTGAAAATTTGTCCGTTCGTCATGTTTGAATATCCAGCACTTCCGCATCAGCTGGTCCACCTAAGGAAAAATAAGAACAGTTTTTTAAAACGCTTTCCCTTTGTTCCTCCATTCAAAACAAAGGGGCAGATTCGCAGGGCCAGCCCMCAACCACGAGGCGCTCACTGCCTCTCCAGCCTCACAGGGAGCAGGAGCCCCTTTCCGAGGGCTCGGGGTGCAGTTACCTCCTCGGGGCAGCTGGGGGGACGTGGCAGCCGCTTCTCTTCTTGCAACACCCGGACAAGCCGCGCTACTGTCATCTGCCCTTGCGTGGGACCCGTCATTTTCAGGAATTCCTGTGTGAAGAGCAGGAGTCAGCGGTGCCATCGCTTCTCCTCTAAATCCAAACCCATCTGATGTCAAGATGGCATCTTACAGTAGATACTTAAGCAGACGCACATGTCATATAAGGCACGTGAGAAAACAGAACAAAATCTGTAAAAGTAGTTTCCTCACCAGGACATGCAGTCACCACAACTTACCYTGGTGCAGGGTCTCGAGTGAAAGATGCCCATAAGGATTGTCCAGGTACCAGAAATGGATTCCATCTCTTTCCCACCCTCCTTCCTCCCCAAACGMAGCACAGTGGAAGCCGCTTGCGCAGCACTTACAGCCATGGGGCTGCACTCCGAGTCGCAGTAGGTGAGCAGCTCGTACAGCGTCACGCCGAAGGACCACACGTCGGAGGCGATGTAGAACTTGCTCTGCAGCAGGCACTCCGGCGCGTACCTGCGGGCGCCCCGCGCTGCCGTTAATGGGGTTTCCAAGTGCTCAGAGCTGCCCTCACGTGTGCAACSCGCCTGCAGCGCTAACCTTTAGCTAAAGACGGCTGCCTTCATGCAGTTGGACATATACATTAACATATGCCCCCCCCCCACACACACACCCATAGGGATGCTGCCTAAGTGGTGAACCAGCTGCAACCGCTCCACAGCAAACCACTACGAAACTAACAGAGACCCAAAATACCCTCTCAAATAGAGGGAAAATGGACCATTAAGGCCAGGATGAAGTAAATGGTGCCCCTGCTGATTAGTCCCCCACATGCCTCTTCCATGTATGTTTATTTTAATTATTATCAAACAAGGAAAACTTTCAGGCAACCAAAGTCCATGGGAGCAGCCAAGTTACTCTAGTGCACAGTTGGGTCACTGAAAGTAAATAAGTTTTATGTTATTACCAAAACACRGGGCTGTCGAGGTCGTCCTTGACGGTGTAATACTCCTTGTCGGTTTCTATTGCTTTGGTGAGGCCAAAGTCTCCGATCTTCACTCTGTTCTCGCTTTCGACRAGGACGTTTCTTGCGGCTAAGTCCCGGTGAACATACTGCCGGGAGCCCAGGTAATCCATTCCCTAGGAGGAATGAACACCTTTTATGCTGGTTTCTCCAACAGAGACGTTGCAATTTTTCCAACTTCCCTTTCATTGGTCTTGTGCCAACATTCCCTTTCTAAAAATGCACTTCTCCCTCTTCCCTAATACTTTCAGTTCTGCAGTAGGAGCCCCTTCTACTTCTTAGAGAGCTCTTTCATGCAAAGGGGGCTCGCGCTTAGACCCCGCTGCTCTCTGGGCCAAGAGCAGCTGAAGCACTGGGCCGGCTGCCTCAGGCCTCACATCCCTGGAGACAGAGCAAGGAGAAGGGCTTTGTTCAGGCCCTGAGCCTCTCCCCCACACCTCCCAATTTCTCTATTAAACAGTGTCTTAAGCTAATTAACCATAAGCATTAAATAACCAAATAAAAGATGCTGCTGCCAGGCTCACCTTGCAGATCTGAACTGCGTATCTGAGAAGTTGTTTGAGGTTGATTTTGTTCTTGTTCCGTGGGAGATACTCCTTTAGGCTCCCAGAAGGAAGAAATTCCATGATGAGTTTAATCCCACTTCCTCCTGAAAACATAACACATTTACTTTGTAGGCAAATCACCCTCACCAATAAGTTTTCATAGTGCTGCTCAGCTGTTTCTTTACATTAGCATCTGTATGGCAGCCACAGCCGGACACTAATGGCASCTAATTAGCTGCCACTGCCAGAGCAGCATCTCTTCCACGCACCACCAATAATATTCATAAATAGTGACTTTAAAAAATCATTATTAGAAATGAAAAATATAAGGAACAATGACTCTTTTCTATGAAGACTATATGCTTCTAACAGCGCCCTGTGGGTCTATGGGGCTGTAACTGGGCTGCAGTGGTCAGCTCTTTCCTGGGACACAGAATCCAGTCTGCCCGTAGTGATAAATTGCCTCCTCCATGGAAAATGAAAAAAGTGTTAACTCTTAAAGACAGGAAGCATGGTTGTTTGCGTAAAAAAAAAAAAAAAAAAAAAAAAAAACACTTAAGGCATGTATTTGTAGGATTTACCATCTTCTGTGCAAATTCCCTTATACTTGACAATGTTTTCGTGATAAAGATTCCTCAAGATTTCAATTTCCTTCTTCAGGTCAGCAATGTGATTCCCGCCACTCTCTGGCTTTAGGGATTTAACTGCCACTTGCTCCCCTGTATTGTCGCCTTCTGGGTCGTATCTGCAGAGTTCAACCTTGCCGAAGTGCCCCTAAATTATAGGAGAAACAAGGGCGAGCGTTAGTGATGGCAGTGCTCATGAGTCCTCATGCCATGAGGCACCACTCKGGGCTCCGCTGAGTCATGCTGCTGCCGAGATGCACAGAGGATGGTACTGTGCAGGAGCACACACACACACTTTTATTAAAAATAAAGAGATCAGAAACAGCACTGCAGTTTGGATCAGGCCACCCTCGACTTCCATGGAACACTGCCCATGTTCCCATACAGGATACGCCTCCTTTCCATAGTGGGGCTATGCAGCTGTGCCCCGTTAGCCCTGAACAGCCACATGGTCCCCAACTCGTGCTGCCCCCTTACCGTGCTCCCTGCTCAGGTACGAACGCGGCCGCTCTGCACGCTCAGCGCTGGCTGGACGGAGGACAAGCCAGCCCAGAAAAGCTCCTTTCTGCTTCCCAGCCTAGAGCCCCGGAGCTGCYGTGTCACCTACCTCCCCCAGGTCACGGATTCGCTTCAAGAATCGTTTTTCAAAGAGCGTGGGATCGACCTCTGTAACAGGCTTCTTCTCAGAGACGATATCAGGATCTGGCAGGGGAAAGAGAGTCCCAAGTTGGACAGATCCCTGAAAGGACATTGTCTTCATCTTCCCACTTGGAAAAGTCATGCTCATCTCCAGTGGCGCCCCCCACCCACCCACCCCCACTACTAGCCTGTGTCCCTCCTTCCTGTCAAACTTYTCTTACTTAAATCCTGCCTATCTCTAAACAGAAAATTCCTTCTCTTTTACATGACAGCCTTTCACTTGCTGCACGTCCCGTCTCACTTCATGGGCTCCCTGCTGGAGCCGCTTCCAGGTTTCCTTTGCTCATTTGTGCCAAGGATCTGGTTACACTTGATGCCTCCCATCCAGGTCTGCAGGAGTCATGCAGCTTTTATGATTATCCAGGCATGGGAAGTGAACTGTTAACCCTATTAGACACCAATCTTCCTTTAATTGTTCTTTAGTAGTATCAGTATAAGGTGAACCAGGAATCAGTTAGCTAAGTTAATACTGGCAGTCAACAAAGGCCTATGGAAAGGCTCAAGATCMAACTAACTTAAGCTGTTTTGTGGAATACCAAACGAAACCGCACCACAAGTGGCACATTCAGTACAAATTAAACATTTATCTACAGGAAAGACCATTTCCATTGGCTACGGACAGAGCCCTCCCCGCCGTGCGCCCGAGCGCGCCTCACTTTGCTCCTCCAGCTTGTTGATGTCTCTCATGATGGCTCTGAAGAAGGGCCGCTGGTTGGGGTCGTAGTTCATGCACTGCTTCATCAGGTCGGCCAGCTCCTTGCACGACGGYGTTGCCAACATGTAGTGGCCCTCGTAGAACCGCTCCTTCTGCAAGGTGTAAATGGAAAGCCAGAATATATGGAGGTGTTTCAAGTGAATAAACCCATGCTCTGCATCAGAGGGGACCATAAAAAACTGTGACCTTTCTCTTAACTTCAGCAAAGCAAGAAAGTCCTCCTGCAGCAGCACTGCTACACCATGGACCAGCAGCTCTGCTTTCTGCTGGGCCTGCTGTAGTTCAGAGCAACCACTTAGACCACCTGATGCTTCTGGAAGAAGAGCTGCATCCTTCAACCCCTCCGAAGYGGCTTTCCTGCCAGACACCAGTGTCACTGTATCAACCACACACGGCTAGGGACAAATGGGCAGCTGGAAATGCTTCCCGTTGGGGAACCAGCTGGAGGGGTTAACTGGTATCCCACAGGAGACTGGGTCTGAATTAATGTCCAGGAGAAACAAGCAGGAAAGAAGCAGGAGGCAGCAGCATCGCAGTGCTGGGAGGCAGAGCAGACAGGGCAGCGAGCGGGGCCCTTGCTCTTGGGAGGAGGAATGCGTGTTCCTGCCAGCCCTGCACACTGGAAACGGCTCCTGCTGCAGGAACAGGAGCAGAGGAGGGAGCCGTCAAAAGCATGAGCGAGCACTGCTGCTTAGCAGTTCACAGCTGAGACATTCAGGAGACAAGCTGAAAATATCAAACCGAATCCAGCTGCACAAGCAACTACCTRCTGTCCTGGTGGTACAATTTGAGTCTGGGCAGCATAGTAAAATTACCCCTAAAAGAAGCAGAAAAAAAAAAGTAGCTGTTCTGTCTAGTACTGGCTGGGTAATGCTGTGCTCCAGCACCCCAAAACTGATGGCATCCTCTCCTCTCCATGCCTGGGGCTGGTTTCACTCGCCTCACCAGAGGTGGCTGTGGGACGGAGGAGTCTGATGTGAYTGTAATTGCAAAATGCTTCAGGCTGGACAGAAGGGTTAGGAGAGAACAGGTGGGATCAGCAGCATCAGGGCATCTTTTAACCGTTACTGCACCGAGTCTTGAAAATCACCAACAAGGCCAATGGGGAAGCAATAATTAGCAATCTTTGTTGCAAGGACAAGAATTGCCACTGCCACCTGCGGTAACTAAAATGGAATCCGCCACTTATTAAGCTCAGCTGAGCTGATTCTTTTTCCTAGGGACTTAAAAGCAGCCAGAATTAAGCATGGAAGCTGAAGCACCAAGGAGACAGCACTTGAGATTTCAAGGCGAGAGTTGTGTACATGCTTTTTACCTCTGCTAGCGTCTTGTCTTTCAGTGGTGTTTCTCCATTATAGCAGATTTCCCACAGTGTTGTGCCAAAACTCCACTTATCTGCTGCAATGCTTAAATTTTTTGAGTCTTCAACACATTCAGGTGCAATCCAGGGGATTCGCTCCACACATTCTTAGATAAAACAGAGCCAAAGCATTTTAGAGTTGATATCAACAGCTAGATACCAGAAATTAAGATTTCTTCTCTGCCATCTCACTAACATAGCTTTTTCAGATAAATTAATATAAACACCCATTATCCACAACACTCCATCACTTCTGTGTAACTTCCATATCTATAAAGATGCTTACTTTAATTTAGAGCTGGTTCTAAAATAACAAGCTCTAAAATCTTATCTTTTCCCTTCTCCTACCCCACTCTGTTGAAGAGAAAAATCTGATTCCCCTCCCATACCTTGTCTGGTGAGCACAGTTATCGGAATCCCTGGGTCGCTCAGCTTTATGAACGGACCATATTCGGTGTCAATTCCTTCTCTTGCCAGCAGCATGTTTTTAGTACACACATTTCCATGTACCAAATCCTTATCCTCCTACAATAAGAGAGAAAAAGAAGGTAAGGATTGCAATAATCCAGCAATGCTCTGCAAGTGCTCTACAATCTCTAGCRCGGGGGGGAAGGCTGTGTAAGCTATTCCCAGCTGAAATACAAAAAGTGGAGCTTGGAAACAAATATCCTAGAGAGAACAAGGGGAAGAAGCAGCAGGGAAACAGAGTGCTTGGATTTTAGCATATTTACTCAGAGGCTTTGATGCATTTGGAGAAAAAAAGAGAACAAAATTATTCCTTCTTCACAAAGAATATAACTGCAAAAGAGGTAGCTATGAATTTTCCAAGCACACACCATGAACTGGTGGTAAATATAAGCACATAAGTTATATTATGTGCTGGCAGAAAAGGACCTAATCATTTTCTCTGAAAGCCTTTCTCTCTGCTAAAAGCAATGTAATGAATACAAAAAGAAAATCTCTTATTGCAGAGTGCTACTATCTAAGAAAGGAAATTCATTTAATTACTAATGCAATGAAATCCACGTCATGGTACAGGCAATACTTTTCCCGAGAGGTCTTACCAGGTAGCTCAGGGCGCTTGCAAGTTGCTTGGCGACTTTGAATTTCCAGGGAGTTGTAAGAACTTCACTTTTCCGATGCATAAATAGATCCAGAGGCCCAAATTCCACAAATTCTTCAACCATGATATCTATAAAGTCAGATGCTTTTTGTCAGTATTATAACAACCTGCAGCAATCTGAGACACCCCTTAGCATCCTCCGTTTTTTACCAGGGCAGCTGGATATCACGTGCCTTTATTTCACYACCTTTAAAATTTATTTCACTGCTCATGAATGGTCCAAATTAAAAGGTGAGGCTTTAYACAGCCAACGGGCACTAACTCTGGACCAGAGCCTTGCGAAGGCCAGCAGGCAGAGCCTCCCCGGGGAAGCAGCGTCTCTTGGGAGGTGGGTTTGTACTGACTCCACTGCTGCTGCGAGGAACCAGCCCGCGAGGCCCTTGCTGAGCCCTGGCGGGGAAAGCTTRTCCGTGGCAGGGACTTTGCAGCCGCCTTGCTGTTCTGGCTCTCTTTGTCTGCATTAAGAACACACGTTGGGGACCCAGCTGCTAATGAGCCATCCCGGAGCACCGTGCGGAGCCGAAGGGCTGCCCTGTCCTTACCAAGCCTGCTGTTTAAGAGCCCTCTCTAGAGACGCCACCCGGACTCACTTTCTACATCGCGGACGCAGACTCCGTGGAGCAGGACGATGTGCTTGTGGGACACCTGCCTCATCATGCTTGCCGTTTCGAAGAAGGCCTGTTGGGAAGTGATGGGCATTAGCCAGCAAAGCGCTGCRGAGCGCGGCAGCCGAGCGCCTCACACGTACCCAGTGCCAAGCAACAAAAACATTTGCAAGAGAGCACTGTTTTCTGGTAACGTGCAGGATCAGCAGTGTCAGGATGTGCTATGCCTTTATACCTTCAGCAATTCCCCTTTTCCCTGGTATACACCCATTTCTTTATTTTAACTTGTCAAGCTAACATGTACATTTTTAGGAATATCGTTTGCAGCATAATACACCAAAAAACCCCAATGAACAAAAACAATAAACCAAACTTGCCAAAGAAATGTCTCTGTGGCTCGGGTCCAAGACTTTGAGAAGGACTTTAATCTCTTTTTCATTTTGATACCCTTCACTCTCATCATCTTTGTAGTTGAGAATGCCTGAGTAAATCTGTGTTCTCGTCCCTCTTCCAAGATGTTCACCCTAAAAGGTAATATACCACAAAATTTCAAACCAAAACATGACACAAGCAAGCACAGATCTACATGAATAGGCAAATCTGTGCCGTAATCTCTCTYAGAATTAGCCATCTAAAATTATTACAAGGTTAGAAACAAAATGACACTTGCTTTTCTTCCCTGGAATATTCTGAATATATTCACCCCCCTATGAAACTCATTGATATTAATGCTATATTACATCTCCACTAGCACCAAACAGGTTCAGCATGACTTAACTTCACTAGACTAAGTGTCAAATAATACACAAAAAAAAAAAAAATGGGCCTCTTATTTACAATAATTAGCTATTGATGCAGTATTTAATGACTTCCCAAAAGTTACATGGAGTAATACTCCAACAGTTGGGAACAGTTGGTTCCCAACTTCCTCCCAAATAGYAGGAGATTCCATTTTGAAATAATTTTGCAGGAAAAGTTTGTRTGTTGACTGTAAATATACCAGGCAAAACCACTCCATATAGTCCTCTCCAGTCAGTGGCCCAGCTTCAGCTAACTTGCATGGCTTAGGAGCCAAAGACTTCCAGATACATTAAAYAGGATTCATGCACTCAAGTCACTCTGTGCTTTTTCGAAGTTTATTCTGGTCCCTAATTGCATCTGATTGTCAGAAAAAATGGAAACTTACATGTTAAATAACTTTAAAAGTCAAGATTTTGACTTTCAAGACCCTTCTGAGCTTTGGAATATTGTAGATTTCTTTTTCCTGTAGAATCTTAGYTTAAAACTTAAGTTGTCCATTTCTGTCATACATCAGGCTTCAAAAGATACAGGTATATTTAGTAATCAAACTGGGTAGGAAAAGCAGTTCCTGCAACTTGAGTTGAGGTTTAAACTAAAGTTGAGGTTTAAAGGAAGTTTTGCTGAAGAGAAATGGGCATAAAAGAACCCTCCAACCAGGCAGAATGTGCTGATTTTATATTACTGTAGCAGACATGGTCGCCTGCCCTATTTGTTCCACTAKAAGAGACCAAGAGCAGCTACCTACCTGTATGATTTCTTCCTTGAGGATTCGATGGAAACTTAGCTGCCCTAAATGGTAAGTGGGCTGCCATTCCTGAGCCTTCTTGGTTGCAACCAGCAAGTTGGAGACCTCTGGAAGGCAAGGGGAAGAAGTACTCTTTAAGCCTTTTTCAAGATGGCTACATAAATCATCTCTCTAAGCCAGCAACAAGACTGTATATGCAAGGTAAATTCCCAAATGGATGAGCTCGAGGGAGAAAGGAAACTTGGAATTCGCTCCTGCTCAAGTAACTTTGGTTCTATCATTCAACAGAATTCACAGAACTACAGCTATTTTACATTATGTTTACAAACTTGGAATCAGCCATACAAGGGAGTATAATGCAGAAGCAAATGCTGTTTACTGCACTGAGAAAGAGCTGGGTCCCTGATACTGCGTGCTCTCCCCTGCTGACAGCAATGCCTCCTTTCCAGTGTGCAGGTGGTAAGAGGCAGCTGGAGCCTTTTTTCTTCTCTTTACCCCTCAAAAACGTCTTGTGCTCTGGGAAACACTAACAGTCTCTGTTCCGAGAGCATAAAACCTGCATTAGAGAGAATGAACAGAAGGCAAAGACACAAAAGCCCAGCACCACCTCCCCGCTGCTTCCAATCAGGGGAATGGCATGATTATATCCAAAAGGCTTGTGTATGAATTTTGTTTTCCTGAGTTTGATAGCAGGAGTTATTTCTCACTATACGATGGTTTTGGATGTCTGTATGGATCTCACCTTGCCATTACTGGGAGCAGAACATGTATGTCAAGACAAAACCATCACTTAGCACTCTTAAAACATTCAGCCATGGACCACAGATTGGTAAAACTATTTTTCTTAAGCACATTACTGCTTTATGAATAACTAATTAAATAGAAATTTAAAAAAAAAGAAGGAAAAAAATGACGAGAGAGAACTGGAAACTTCAAGGATAATGCACTAAAGCCTAGAGACATGACTGCCCTAAAAAAAGAAACAGAACTACTGCCAAGGAAAATCAGAGGTAGGTGGACAACAACTCATTGACCTGTTTTGTTTATTTTATTCCAAATACATCTACTAAAATGTAATCAAATGCCTAAGTGTTTAATCTCTCCATGCCCCAGACAGCTAGCGCTGTTCTCAAGAAGTATGGATAAACTCAAGTGCCCTGCTAGAGAACATTCTCCTCTAAAACCTTCAAAACAAGAAGATAATTTATGTAGCTCAGTTATTCCCCTTATTCTAACAGGAAATCACTATCTGATCAGCAGAACCACACCACTGTGTATTTCCTCTTTCATACAAAATTAAGCTGCAAGTCTCTCGCAGCTTACAGCAAACAATTCTAGTAAGAGTTGGCACAGACAGTTTAACAAAAGCCTGATTGTCCCAGGCCATCCAGTGTCTGGCCTCAGAGGCAGCTCTGCTGGCGTAATGTGCGTTCTGCTTGATAACAGCAGCTGGCCAACTCTTCCCCCCTGCTTCAGAAAGACTCATGAAGTCATCAAGAAGTCATCATGAGAGCAAGCAAACTTCAACCCAAAGGTTGCAGCATGACGTGCTGCAGGTTGCAACCTTCGTCTGTTAGGAAAAGCAGCGTGCTGTGTGGCAGCACTCTTGGCATACGTGACTCCGCAGAGCAGAGGAAGACCCTTATATGGTCCCTGTCTCACCACAGCATTTCAGCACGTGACTGTGAGTCAGCTGTGACATTCTCTTTTTAAACAACCGTGAAGTTCTGCGTCTGCTGTTGATACTGCAGGGCCAGATGTTTAGGTGCAAAAGGACAAACTTGAACTTCTCTCACTGTCATCTGAAAAGTTCATACCAAAAAGGCTCGTGACCAGCAGCAGGCTGAGCTGCTACCACAAAAAGGAAAGTCCCAGCATCTTGTTCACAGTGCTTACCTTTGCTCTTTGACAAGACTCTCCTTAAATYAACAAGCAAGAAACATTATGGTAGGTATAATTCTTTTAAGTGACAGACTTTCACACAAAGACCCTACTAAGAATGCCTCCTATTTCTAAAATTTGTCTTCTCTCAACAACAAAGTTGGTTTCTCTTAAGGGACAAACACTACCTACCTCTTGGTTTTGGTTGGCAGCACCTCTTCAGTGTAAAGCTTATGTTGTCTGTCCGAAGTATCTGTCCTTTCAGGTGATCCATCAGCTCTTTTAAGGATGAAAAATTGTTGTTTGAACCATGTAGGAAATACTTGCCCTTTTCCACTTCAATCTGGAAGTTCTTATACTGGATTGAATTATTTAACAGCTGATAATAGGGAAGGAGGGGAGAAAGAGGCAAAATATTAATCATAAAAAGGAAAGAATGTTCATAGAAGCTAATAAATCCATACAAGGCAAGTTCTCACAAAAGCTCCCCAAAAGCCTTCAAAACGACACCGAGGACCAGTTAAAGCCTAGCTCCTGAGCTGGGTTTCTACAAACCAAAGCTCCGGTCCCATGAATGAAGGTCATAAAAACAGAGTGGAAGATGAGCAGTATAAAAATGCAAACATCTAAAAAGTCCAAATTACTGCTTATGTGTTTAAAGCCATACAGCACAGCGCAGGGGAAGCCCTTTTCAGTAGGATTTTTCTCTCTGCTCAGTCAAGAATCACACAATCTGGCCCTTGGTTTCCAAGTCTCAACAAGAGACAGCACGACTCCGGTTCACAACTCGGGCTATTCAACAAGCTGAACCAACAAGATTTCAGACTTCTGCTCCAGAATTCCAATTTAATCCAAAGGCACTGGAGAAGACTGAATGGATCTTCATACTTATCCATCTCARGCCTGTGCCCTTTCAAGGCCTGTCCTCTGCTTCCTCATCTCTCACGTCACGTAGTTTCACACAACCCTCTCTTCCCTTTCCTCTGTAAGCCTTGCAATAAGCTTGAACATTTTCCATGACAAAACTCATTTCCTGTTTCAATGCCTATGTTGCCCTAAGACAGTGATTTTCTGTTTTGTTTTCTTTTGTTTGTGGGTTTTCTTGTTGCAAAGGACCACAAATGAAGGGTCCTCTATCCATGCTAAGGAAYGGCTACTATTCTCAAGGGTGTTTTTTTCCCATCATTTTATATCTTTTGTTTCAGATTTCCTTTCTTGGCCTCAATCATTCTTGTAATCTTTTTCTCAAAGGGAAATTGTTTTGTAAGCTTTTATGATAATATTATTGTTCCATAAAAAGTTCATATATCATCCAAAAATAGGAAGCCAGCTGTAGGCTTCCAATTRGTGTCAACTCTTACATAATTTATATAATTATTACATTCTTATTTTCTATTTTTAATGATGACTATATGGTTTTCTTACACATTCCACCTCTTGAAGTTTTCCTTATTACTCTCTTCTTTTACAAAATATATTCCACAAGCTGTCTGCATGACTCCTTTTGCAGAGCTCTTCACGTGAAGCCAACTGTCCTCACTCACTATCCTTTTTCAGTGTCTCAGTAGAAACACGTTCATGTATTTAAATTYATGTGCATGAAGTAGTAGATAAATTGCAGTCACAAAGTCTGTGTGTAATTTTCACATGTAATTTTCACAAGTAATGCAAAAAAAAAAAAAAAAGCCTAATCTGAATCGTATTCATGCACACATTCTCTGCAATGAGTCCTATTTCAGAGCTAGCACAAAAGTCCAGAGAAAATGAACCTATGAGTACAAGAGTATCCTCTGCTGCAGTCAGCTGGCTTCCAAGAAAGGGAAGAGTGACTGTCCTAAAGAACAGGAATATATCAACAGGGGTTGCCCAGAGCAGGTACTCTTTAACTCATTACCAGGTAACTGCTGGTAATGCCACACCCGACGTACCTCTGAGCCATCAAAACAAGTCACAGTCATGAGAATGTGGTTAAAGTTTGTGCAACTCCATCTCAGCACATACATTCCTGCTTCGTTCCCTTCCTGTCGCAGTTTGTTGATGGCGTACTCCGTACTGAAAGAATTAATGCACAAATGAGGAAAACTGACAAATGAGCAGATGCATCCTAAAACTATTAATAAAATCCACCAAAGCACAAAATCCACAAAAGTACTAYGGCAACTTAGGAATATTTACACTATTATTTATACTGTTATATTATTACTAAAACATAATTTGCAATACACACAYGTCATATATGCCATTTGTAACAGCGGGCACAATTATGAAACTGCAACCCATTAGGAATGTAGCAGTACAACTCAGAGGCTGTTACTGAAAGGATTTTTTTTTAGTGTTCTGAGTTGTCTTGGTTTTGTTTATCTGGAGGTTTTGGGAGCTTTGTTGTTGTTTTGCTGCAGGCAACAGGAGTACAGTCAGCACTGCTGAAAACGCAACTCTGTTTTCAGCTCCATAGAAGAGGGAGCTTCTCCCTTTTCAGCAAACTTCCTCTAACTAACTGTTTATATAAGCATGTGGGAAAGATTGAGCTTGGAGTCATAAAAATGAAACCCACTACTGCCAGGTGCATTGGTTAATGGTATCTATGTTGTCTACAATCCTTTGGTAACTTCTGGGAAGTATGGAACTGAAACCAAAATGTTAAATTTCCTCAATGGATTCAAAATGCAACAGAAGTGTAAGGATGAATTATCTGAGTGGGAAAACTAAAATCATCTCACTAACCAAATGGGTCCATGGCATCCATTTTTTATGTTGTGCTCAATCAGCGGGGGAGCCACATCTGTGCAGAGATAGTGGTGAGCATCTGCTGTAAGTCTGAAATATCCATCTATCAACGATGCAAATGACAGGGCCTCATCATGTGAGGACAGTTTTAACTCCTATAGAAAAAGATATTTTAGTTAAAAAGAATAGTTAAAACATTCCAAAGCAATYTGTGTGTTCTCATTTTTATCTTGGTTTTTAATTGCAAGAGATAGCTAAAAAATTGTAYACTTTGGGAACATACTGTGTGTGTTTCTTCCTCTCTCTCCCTTCCCTCTCCCCCTTGTTTACTAGCTAGAAACTTTAATTACCCAGCATGATGTAAGGTCTGCTGTAATCCTACATGAGAACTCTCATGTCAGCCTTGGCAAAACGTCACGAGCTTAGGCGCAGGTCCTGGATTTGAAGCCAAGGGAACTTTGGTGGCTCCTTTCTAAACTCAAACAACTGCAGCCCAGCAAAAGGAAGCAGAGGGGACACAAATACTGAGTGTCTAGAAACCAACTTTCTGCTCAGATTCTCTCCACACTTGTGTTCTCTCCCTCCATCATCATTTCCAAGTTCCTCCCTCCTGAAGCTGATTTTGGCTATCCAAGATGCACACAGGAAAGCCACTGGCTGGGAAGCCTGGCAAGGAGCCTCCTTAAATTTGGGGCTTCAAAGGGAAAATAAGTTGATGAACAGCAGCAATACGCAGTAAGAAGGATGGAGGAAGTGCTGTCCTCCTTGAAAGGCTTCTCTTCTAACTAACTCTTTTGCATTTGTGCACTGAAATCAGCACACTGATCACTCATCAGCGAGTGCTTCTCAGAGCGTTCGKCACACGTTGCCCAACAACTCTGTGTCATCACCACAGCTTCTTCCTGGAGGAGGGAAACCTACCCAGCCGTGGTCCTTACCATCCTTTTGTTATCCTGCTTGTTAATGCTAACGGTGGAGTCCTTGATGACAATGTGGGTGATTTCAGGAAAATAGGAAAAATTGTTCCACAACTCTTGAGCTTTGTGTTTTTCTTCCTCTTTCTTATTTTTGCCATCTGATTTTCTCCTCTTCATCTTATGTTTCTCTTTCTCTGTCTGTACAGGCTGAAAATATATTTGGGAGGAAAGTATATTTATATTTAAAAAAAAAAAAAAGCTCTTTTTATTAATAGGCCAGTTTTTTACTCTAAAACAATCTCAGGACAGAATAATCTTCCACAGATATATAATTTCTACACCTTTTGCACAGAATTAAACAGTTGCTTGTGTCATTGGTGTGCCTGTACTGCAAGGTTATACATTCTCAAGAACTGTCATAAGACAGCTGTCTTGARGCTGAAAGAGAGGTTTGAGAGCCTTTTAAGTAATCTTATAATTTATATAAAGTTTGGCCCAGCAACTGCTGTGCAATATTTAGCTAGCCAACTTCTACCCATATGATGAGAAATTTCAAACTAGCCCTTTCAGTCTTCTTTTTTTGATAATAATATTCCTAAGCATGTGTCAGAGAGAACCTTTCAGACCTCAGCACAAAAGCCACATTGTGCCTGCAGGACGTGCCCAACCCTGCAGCTCCGCACGCAGACCAACTGAGCTGAGCAGCTTACAGATCAAAAACTCTGGACAATTACCATGAACCCACTGGATTACCTAAAAGATGTGAATGTGTAGGCCTGAACAAAGCCTCTTCCTATCCATGCAGAGACTCTCACTGAGAGAAAAGTGTTTGATTAGACTTAAACATGGTCTAACAATCAGTAGAGGCAGAATTTTATGAGGCTGTAAGAACCAGACTGCATTTCTTAAAATTTTTTTTCCTCAAATATCAGTTCTTGAATTGAAATAACAGAGGCTCAAAAGTGATTGAAGAAAGAACATTTTTCCCAGGTGGACCATCAAGCAGTGGAATAAGCTGCCCACAGAGCTTGTGCCATTTCCATGCTTGGTTTTTCACGCCACAGCTGGATCAAGCCCTGAGAGTCCTGGTCTGAGCCTATAGCTTGCCTAGCTGTGAGCACGGGGTTGGACTGCAGGCTCCAGAGGTTTCCTCCAACCTGAACGATCCTATAATCCCATGAAACAAATCTTTTTATAGAAAAGATAGTCCACAGCTTCTAAAGATTATATGCATTTTATAAGAGCTGTCAGATCCCCCAAAGTCATCCTTGAATTCCAAATTACAAAGGGATACTTACATGTGGCTTGAGCCGCCACTGAATTCCATTGTTTCCTGTTACGATCACTTCATACTGTGGAAGGATCTCATTTTCTCCACAATTAAACTTATTTATTTCATTCTCGGATGAAATCAGCAAAGATGAAGTCTCAAAGATTTCCGCTCCGTAATGTTTGGTCAAGGTCTCCATTGTTGACAAATATTTAACTTTCAGGTCATGTGGAGACACATTAGTGTCACAAATGGTTTTATTGTTAAACTCTTTAAGGAAATCCTTGAAAACATTATTTATCCGAATTCTGGTTAAGAAATTCCTCTGTCTGATAGTCTTGTTCAAAGTTTCTGGAATATAGTGCTTGTAACTAGAAGGAAGAACAGTGCTATGAGTCAATATTGTCATTTCCTAAACTTTCAACCCTCTAAAATGCAACTTATTGCCTTACTTCAAAAGTAATTTACAGAGAATAGATGAAGTAAACTGTTGTGTATTTAAGGCTATAGAATTGGTCTATAGTAATAGTAGGCAATGGCAATTCAAGTAATAACCTTATCTGAAAGTTTTGTTGTCATTCAAAACAAAATCTCAAAGCTAACATTTGAACCAGCAAGAAGAAGAGCTGTAATTATAATCCACTGTTTATTTGCATGCTATCTGAAACTATAACTTTAATGAAATATCTGTTAGAAAGGGCATCAAAATTTTATTTTGATGTGATATATAAAATTAGTGTGTTACTAAAATGGGTCACTAATTAGCTGCTCTATTGACTTAGCATTTTCACCATTAGACTTCTACTTAACAATGTTCTAATTTCTGAACCTACTGACCGCAGCACCCTGAATTTATAGCAGATCAATGAGTACATAGCACATCAATGTGTTAGTGTGCCTAGCTGCATAAAATTTCATACAGTCTCTAGAAAAGAAAATTTCAGATATTCCATTACACAGCCCTAATAACCGGATTAGGAAGACAAATTTAGCAACACTAATGTTGGCGCTTCTAACTCCAGTCAGACTCTAGAAGGTAAAATATTTAAATAGCTCTTCTAGAAAAGGAGGGATAGTTTGCTTCTTGCAGGTCTAACAGAGAACAATAAGTTATCCTAACTTACCTGACATCTTTGGGAAGCTCTGGAAGTTTCATATTTTTCTTGATGGCATGGTGAGAGATTGCAAGGACAGCCATCCCCAGACATTCATTTTCAATTTCATGACCTTCTTGATCATTTTTAGGATCACGAACTGGTGCCAGGCCTTTCACTAAGTCATATTGTCCCTTAATAAATAAATAAATAAATATATATATACATAAATAAAAAAGAATTGGCATTTGGCCACAAGACCACACTCTCCTTGAGCAGCAAAGCCTGAAACTCATGAAGAGAAGGGAAAAGCTTGCTGCTCTTAGATCAGTAAAACAATAACATAGGGAAGCACTAGTCACATCATAAACCTGCTTATCKGACAAGAGCATCAAGATCTGTGCTCCACAGAAGTCTTTTCAAATGACAGTTTCTGGAACACAAGTAGAACCACCACATGGGCTCCGTCTCCAGCACATCAAATCCTTACAGCATCCACAGCACAGTGCATTATCAGGGATGGTTTTGTCAAACTAGATTCTCAGCTAGCACTGCTCAGTTCTTTCTAAATTACCAGTTTACTTCCATATGTTAGTTCACCAAAAATCAACTTTTTTCTTAGCTAAAGAAACCACATCCATCTAGCATATTTTCTTGGTGCACCATCTTATTTTTTTTTGGTGCAGAATAGGCACTTTATCTCTGCTTTATATCTGCTTCTCACCAACTAATCCCTTTCCTGACTTCACTGCTCCATGGCAAAAGTACAGCTGTAAACTCTCAGTGGCTGCCACCTTGCTCTGAAGCTGCTTGAGAAATACTTGGTTGGTTGTCAAAGAGCAGAGATGCTTTTGTTGCATTATGCTAGCACTAGCGTTCTTCTTTTTGACTTCTCTTTTTAGATGGTGTGACTTAACAGTAAATTTTTGCTAATGTAATATTGTCTGACTATTAATTGGGGTTCTTACTCATTAACCAACTTGAGAGGTATTTTGGCTCTTTTCACTGGCACTCAAAAAAATTTAAAAGGGGAAAAAAAACCGGACACAATCAGCTTTGTGGCATGCTTTTAAGCAGTCATTTTGCAAAGTTGCATAAATGAACTTACATAAATGTTCACAGCCTGAATAAAATAAAACATGAGCTGATTATGCAATTAAAAAAACTTTTCTCCTATTATTTGTCTGGAATGCAAGTGGCACCACCACAGTGTACACTTAGCTGTGGCTAAAATGGCAATTTATTTTATTGTTGTTTTGTAACAGCAGTGTTCATTTTTGTAGACACAAGCTATCTCATTTCTAAAGGGCACAATCATACTTAAGCCTGAAAATTCTATTTTACTTTAACTCCAAATTAACAGTAAACATGTTTTTCTCCAGTGCATTTACCTTGTTCATTTCACAAATCTCCATCAACGTCAATCTTTTTAAGAGATTACTTCCCTTTTCCTTGCTGAAAGCAGAAACTTTCTCGCTTGCAAAACTATTTGTGTGTGTGAGTTAACTTGTTTTGGTTAAGTGCATAAGCTTTCTGAAAGAGGGACCCTGCCTGCTTGCCAGGTAGAACATACTACAGTGCTACCAACAATTGGAAAGTGCAAAGGAAAAAGCAACTGCATGTAAGCAGGCTCTGGGACAGTGGATTATCAGGCAATGTTTTAACACCATGCAATAAAAATTGATTAAAAAGGACATTATACTATCATAGCTTTTAATATTCCTATCATTCAGCTGTAGAAGTTATAAACGACAAAAGCTGTACAGCCATTCTGTGTAAATGCTGCACAAAAGGTGGCAGCATTATATGCAAAAAGAGATAATATTAAAGAAAGTGTGCTATAAAATAACAGCCCTGTTTGGACTGTGTGAGAGAGAGTTTCTAAGTTCTGTATATGGGCAAACATAGCAAATTCTCTTTGTTCTACTATGCAGGGGTATGAAGAAAATGCTTATTTATATGAACAGATATAAGCTATTGATACAGAGTTTTAGTGTTTGAAATGTAAAGAAAAGTTTTAATGTTTGAAAACAGGTCTTTAAAGCAGACAYAACTTCTTCTGTATTAAATCAATTTTGTGTTCCTAATATAACTGACTTGCATACAGCTCTTACCTGTGCAAAAATGTATTCTAAGGAGAATGCATCAAGTATGGGGCTTCCTTCTGGAGCTAGCTTCTTCTCGTAGGAGTTCTTGGACTTCTTTGGGGAATGTCTCCACACTGAGGGTTCACTTTCRCTTGTCCCATGCCAGTTTGTAAAGTAGTATCTTTCAAGAAGAAGAAAGTGAACTTAAAAACTTGAGGATGCCCTCTAGATACATATTTTAAAATTTCAGAATAAAACAGTAAAGGTACAAGTCAAAACCTTTAATTCTTCGACCCTGAGATTACWGCTCACAGTGGTGCACTGCCAAAAGTGCACTCCTAGTCCGAGAAACTGGGGAAAAGTGGTGTGTTAGTCAAAGGCCTTAAGCATTTCCAATGCACAGCATCTCACCCACYCTTAACTCGCCATATCATGATTTACTACCTGGCTCATGCTTGCGCAGTCCACGAAATAACAACATACTGACCAGCTGGCAGTGATGCTTCAATTATCTCACATTGCTTGAGCACTTGACTGAGTATCAGTCAACAGGGGACATTTCCATTCCAGGATGAATCCAACCAGCCAACCTCCAACCTCCTCCTCTATGGGCTGGKGACACAGCACAAAACTGCCCCAAGGACCGTCCCTGATGGCGTTACACCTCAGTGACATCTTGAAACATCTACTGCCCTTTGGTTTAAGAGGAATTATTAAGTGGAAATGGTATAAAAGATTTCCGCATGTATTATAAACAAGCTTTCTACTCATATCTGTACACCAGGCCTCTTAATTACAAACTTGAGTAAAAGCCTACGGAAAGMGTTGGCATTTGCTGAAAATGAATCATTTGTTCAGTCCAATCATCTGTCAATGTCTTTTCAAGAATCTGCCCTTAAACCATTTCTCTAATTTGTAATTATCTGGGTTCCAGTAACATCTTAAATTAAGTAAAGTTTAATTAGATCTGGTTTGGATCAATGTTTCTTTTGCAAGAGCACACGCTTTGCAAATGACCATAACGTGATCAATTAAGTGGTCAGGGCAGAGACAATATATCTACTAAAGAAGGATTTCTATAAGAATACGCAAATAGCAGCACTAGCAAATGTGCAATGCCGAAGTATTTACTAATACAAAAAGGAGGTGAGAAACTGGATGTTTCTGGTGGACAAGGACCACAATGAGTGTCATACAATTTGTTTCATAGGAACACAGACAGCTCTGTCAGCTAAGGTTTTCATGTCTATCTAAATATGTGCTAAGTAAAATCAGCAAGAATCTCTGATCAAAATGAGAAGAAATAGTTTAGCACAGGCAAAAGACAAATGAATTTGAATTGTAAGACACTGTACATAAAGGAAATGTAAAAAAGAAAAAAAAGGAAAAAAAAGGAAAAAAACCCTTATATTTAGAAAATGTTGATGCATGTGATGAACTGGAACTCCTGAATTGGAAATACATGGAAATACATGTTTTCTGTATTTCTGTATGCGGAAAATATAAACTACTTCTTTATAAAGACACTTGGAGTATTATAAATAAGACACCTTCTGTTTGCCATAGAATGCTTAAGGTTGGACGGGACCTTTAGAGATCACCGAGTCTGGGGGATTTGTGAATTAATCTCCATTTCTGCAGTGATGGAGGTCAGTACGCAGCAGTCTCAGCGCACAGGCAAAGAGACAAAGCCAATTACTACTTTTTATCAGTTGAGCACTATGTGCTTCATTACTTGTGTTATCTGCATAGTATGTTGGCCATTCAACTGAAGAATTATGTATCAAACTATTCTTAAAGAGACAAGATTTTCTGCAATGTTTCTATTTTTTCTATCTTTCGGATAAATYGCCCCAAAAAGCCTGTAGATACAGCATGAGTAGGAACATCTATACACAATCAGGGCAAAAACTCACGACCAGTACTCGGAGGCACTATATAATTTCTTTAGTTCAAGCACAAAAATCAAAGGAAAACAAACCCTTTTGCCTCCAGGAAATCACTTTGTTTCCTTATTCTCCCTTATAAAATGAATTGCAATTAGTAACTACAATTCATTTGGTACTTTCCTGAAAATAATTACGGGCAAGTTCTTGTGTATTGTTTGCAATTGAGATGATAATTTGTTCTTTACCTATTAACTGACTTGACTTGGCTCCCTTTGCCATGCAAAGAAGTGTTGACAATCTCTGGCTTAAGCCTAACCCAACCACAGAATAGTTAAACTCCTCCTCCATCAGCTTATGTGCTAATTAGCCAGGATATTACAAAATACTGTGGTTTCTTTTTTCTTTTTCTTTTTTTTTTTTTTCTCTGTTTTGTCTGGGGTAAGTTTCCAGTAAAAAGCAGAATCTTTTAAAATATAATTCCGTGTATATATCAAAGGCCAAAAGTATGCCAACTGGCCCAGATCTGATGGCAGAGGAGATGAATGGGAAGCTCACACCATCAGAAAGCAAATTCTGAAGCTTTCAGCAACGGAAGAAAAATCTGAACAGCTAAAAGCATTTGAAACTATCTAGTCATATACCTTCATTTTTTATATGTAATTTGGCTAGGATATTACTAAATCAAGCCCATATAAGTAATGAAATGTCAGAAATAAGGTTGTTCACACAAAACTGATTTAGTATCTGCATGATTATATATTGTCTGATACAATTCAATATTAAATGAGGCCAGAACATTTTCTTTTTTTTATTATTTTTAAAGGGGAATCCAGTCTCTTGCAGAGCTCTGAATAAATAGCACCCACTTAGAGAACAGTCATTCTGAATCCTGCATCACTCAATTTTCAGTGCTCAGCCCTGTTGCAGCTGAGGTGCCTGAGCCAAGAGTCGCAATGAATCAGAAACGAAGGCAAGGGAAATGCCACTTCACCAATACACTGCAGTATTTATAGCACACAGGAATCTTTACACTGCAACATCTAAATTCACATAATCTCTTCTTAAATGTATTTCATATTATTTKTAATAGATATAATTGGCCCAAATTTTGCAATTTTGTATGCATGAAGTATATCAGACAAAAGCACCTCTGCCTATCTTCAAATCTCAGCTCCAAAGCTTAAAAAAAAATAAATCACTATAACAGAGCTGAGCATTTTCCCTAGCTTACTTTTATGAAATGTTGGAAGTGAAAAAAAACTGAAAATGGATTTCAATGTAAAAAAAAAAATCCTGCCTAAATATTTAAAATTTGACAGTTGTAAACAGCCAAAGAATGTTTATAAGAGGGAGCTGTCCAAGCAACTTTAAAGAAACTGGTTTTATCAGACATGAATGGGATATGTGGACGAAAGCAAAGGGTTTTTCCCTTCACCAGAGGGCATTCTCCCCATTCACCTCATGCAGTGTGAATGAAATGCGTACCTGAAAGGAATTCTCACTGTTCACCCAAAGCAAAAATACATATGCAAGAATTATACTGGAAATTATTTGTCAAAAATTGAGTCGAAACCGCATCATGCTTTGAATTGGAGCATCACATTCCTGCAACTATATTTTGAAAATGCTTTGTTTTTTTAAAGAGAAAGGAGATTGTATCAAAGAATTTCAGTTCCAGGATAAAACACCCCAGATTCACATTAGACCAAGAAAAAAATGTTTTATGAATTTGGTTCTTTGTGGCTTCCAGGTCTTGTTTCTTTTTTTTTTTTTTTTCCCCCTTCTTTTTTTTTTTTTTTTTTTTTTTTAAAGGTTATAAAGAAAAGACAAAACTTCTGGGGACATTTCAAGCTCTTCCTGTAAATCTCTTTATCTACAGTGTGAAGAACAAAATGTTTCTTTTGGTTTTGCTTTCCTGCATCATAAGAGAGTTCAGTAGTAAGAGTTAGAGCACATACCTACCTTTCAAAGGACAATACTAACACCATGGTGTCCCCAAAAATCACTTTTCAGATGTTTCTACACTTACCTCATTCTGTAATGGAGCCGGTATGATGTTTTTTCATCTATCTTAAAGACCTGGTTGGGTGCATACCAGAGCCTCTTGTTCTCATCAAACAGCGCAAAGAGATTATGGCACAGTGGAGATATACCTGTTAGAAAAATACACGCATTAATTCAGAGGGTTGCAATACATGCACACATCCCCAAAAKGCAAACACATAAAGCAAATATCTAATCTTGCAGTATCTACAAAAAAAAAATGATTAGTTTAAAAAAAAAGACACTAAAAAAACAAGGATGTGTTGATCAAATTCATCTATTTTATCATATATAAACTGTCTGACATCTCAAGATACTTCTGATGTCAAATACTTTGAAATCTTAAAAACTTTTACCTTTTCCAGACCACAAAAAATGTTTTGTTTTTCCTTTTTTTTTCTCTCTTTTAATAAAATCACCTAGACATACTGCAATTTCATACTCAGTATTACTTTATTGCTAGATTTTATCCACATAGTTGTAAAGGAAGGCCTTAGTGAAATGATGAAAACTCCCTCCCTATTAGCAAACAGGCAGAAAAGCAAAACATGTCATTTTTCCATTCCTTACTAATCCAACAGAGGGTTTTCCAACAAACAACTGGTTCTGACAGGTGTTTAGGCTGATCTGCATTAACCTTTACATTGTTTCCTCAAAAAAACTAAGCTCTAGTTTGTTCACAGGACTAATGCTATCTGAATTCTTGTCTTCAGTTCCCTCTTCAGAAGGAGGCAGTACCTTTTTGCTACGGGTGTATTTAAGGTCCCAGCCACGCATGCATCTCTACTGCAGCATGAGCTTGAGTGCCTATCTGAACTAGGGCCAGCTACTGAGCTCACTGTTCAGCTCCTGGAGAATTCACTCAAACCAATTCCATTTGGAGCTGGGGAGAGAGAGGAGAAGGGAAGACAACAAGCCAAGGGAATAAAAGCTGAATATGGCAGTTGCAAAGCTCACAGGGCATGGAGCTGGGTGGCCACTACCTTCTGCAAGTAGCCTGGAAGCAGATAAGTGCCATCACTGGTTTAGCTATGAGTAATTCAAGCTGTAGTTCACAACAGAGGCTGCATCACAGGCTTGCTGAACCCATAAGTCTCTTGTATTTCCCTTAGCTAGGCTGTGGATTAGGCTAAGAACAGGAAAAAGTAGAAAGAAGTTCCTCTAAGGAACATTTCCTTACAGGCAAGTTTTTAAGTTCTTCCGATTTTCATTAATATCTATTCAAAAACAAACTGAGTACTTATTTGATGGGGCTTGTCCCTCATATTTCCATCATTCTGACTCTTAGAATGGAAGAGAACAAATTAGGCAAGAGAGTTGGAAGATAAACTCAATGCCTCAAGAACCAAGATGTCTCAAGAATCAAGATGACAAGGGAAAAGAAAGTATTTGCAAGTTTCAGGGAAATATGGTTATTTAACAGCACAGATCTTGTCAGCCTTACTGACTAGTACAGGAGGTAAAAACAGGTTTTTCCAACTTGCTTGTGCATTCACATCTCCTCTTCTCCTAAAGGCAGCCTAATCCTACCCTACTAAAATCAAAAAAACAGCACCTGTAACTGCCAGAAAGCAGGAGGCAAGTCCTTCACTTGCAAGAAACTATCCAGTAGTTTTCCCACTCCAAACAATATAAACAGTGCCTGAGCAGACCCCTGCCAAGGTCTCCATGCAGACTGTGTATCACGTGTATTTCTCCCACAAGCAATAACTTACATGCAAAGACAGAAGCACCATTTTTCAYGCTGTCAGACCTTGTCACTGCAAACACATATAACATCCAGATACTCACAGCATTTCTGAGCAGCTTCAATGCACAGTTCCTCTGAGGTAAACTCGCCACTGGTGTAAAAAATGGGAGGTTTATCTGGCAGGTAAAAAAGTAGTTCTAAACCCTGGTGCTGAGCTTCCAGGTTTACTTCAGTCTTCTTTGTGCTCCTCATCTTTGCACAGAAAGCCATAGCTTTGCAATCTTCTTTTACGTTTAGATACTGGAAGTGGAGGACAATATATTTAAAGAAAACATGATTTTAAAAGTTTGATAGCAAAAAAAAATCCGTATTGAATAACATAAACACTATAATTTAAAAGTAGAAGTTATATTTACTTTAAAAAGTTTTATTACTACGATCTATATTAACAGCTAAATATTTCTGACACTTTTCTCCTATCTGTTGTTTAACTCCTTATACTTAATTTGCTGTGGTGAAATAGGCTTTATTTGAGGGTTCCTTTTTATTATTCTGTCTCTCCATAAGGAAAGAGTAGCACCAAAGAAGTTCAACGCAATGTCCTTAAGACTGCCAAGAACCTGGGTGATGCAGCTGGAACTCTAAAGGAAAGGCTTTACACCCTGTGCTTAAACAAAAAGGGCAGTAATGGAGCTACGTGAGATCAGGAACTACAGGGTCTCTGATACACACTGTGCTAAACTTCATCTCTTTTGATAGCAAAAGCCCCAAATACCTGTTCTAGGGTGCATTTACTTAAAATTTCCACCAAAATAGAGGGAAAAAAAATATCCAACATACCTGCATTTATGTGACTGTCTGGTCCACTCAGCAACTGAAACAGGTTATCTTCACACTTTCCAAGAGCAACTTGACTCTGGCTGAAAGAAAGAAAGAGAAAAAAAAAAAAAGTGTCAGGAATTGCTTTGTATGGTTTTATGAAAGACAAAATATAAGGTCAGCCTGATAAAGAGATATTTGCAATCAAGGGGAATCTTTCCATTAATATACCTGAAATCCAAATCAAGTCTCAACGACAGAGCAACATCTAGGATTACAATCTGCACATTCTATGCAAAACTACTGTTTTCTTTTGAATCCCTGCATACACCAGTTGAGATACAGACAAAAAAAAAAGGGAGATTTATATTTTCAGAGCATCAATAGTCTGCTTCGTTTCATATTTATGGCATCCCTTCCCTCAGCTGTGACACCAAAGGAGCATTTGCCTCATTGCTCCATCCCCTTCCTAGCTTTTGAAGTCATACATTCTTCCTATTTTGTCTCTATTTTGTTTATTCCAGTTCTTCCTTAGTCTCTGTTGTTTCCCTTCCTACCAAATTTTCACGTTTTGTTGTTTGTTTTTCTGTTCTCCTTTCCCCTGTGAAAGGTGCAGAGTCTTGTGTGGACTGCCAAGAAGAGGGGAAACCACTCAACGGGGTGAATATCACTGTGAGGGTCACATTTCTTTCYGAGGAACCTTGCTGCAAAGGAATGAAGCCAGTGATTTCAGGGCTTCAAGCAAGAGGGCACCTCCCAAAAACCTACATTTTTTTCTAAGCCTTATCTATCCATCTTTTTTTGTTGTTGTTTTTGAACAAAGTACAGTTTGGGAGGTTTTTTTCTGTCTTGTATCGATTGCAAGAAATAAGCTCAGTACAACAAGCAGACTACCAACCTTTTTGAATGCTTAGCATGGCAGAGCYTGATGCCAAGACTGTAAAAGGCTGTAGAGCCAAGGGGACTTAAGAAGTGGAAGAAAAGCAGGTGTCCATAAAAAGTCAAGGGAGCCCTGGCTGCTCCTCCTCCCCCAGCATGGGAAAGGGCCAGAGCTGCCTTACTTTTGGGAAAGGATTCTCAGCTTGCTGAAGGGAATAAGGATGTGGGACTCTCGTTCTGCCTCTGGAAACACCCCTCCGGTTTGGCTTTGTATCTGAGCACGTCATCTGGAGAGCAACAATGTCCCACAGAGGACCCTGTGCTTGGGGGATTGCTGGTCCGAGGCTGAAAGACTCTTCCATGAGTATTSCCTATGTCTTCCTTTTCCTCCTCTCCCCTGTCTCTGCCAAAATGTAGTTGAACTAAATGAGCTTTATCTGCTTGTTTTGTTTTTCTGTGATAACATTAGGCCTTAATTTGCCATTGCAGACTTCAGGAAATATTGCTCAAGAACCCTTAGGGCATGGTTTGCAGAAAGCCTGACATTACAGCTTACATATTCCAGCAGATGTGATACTATCACAGAAAAAATAACATTTAATAGTGCTGTGCCTATTTAAAATTATATTTTGTGTTCCCTCCATCCATGCTACTTTAATACTAAAGGTGAGTTCCAGACATGTTTCCTCAGCAAGAATAAGGTGATGCAGCAATTGAGAGGATGATTACTGRAACATGCAGACACGCCAGGAATTATTTTTGTACAGCACAAGAAAACTTAAATGCAAAAGATAATGGATGTAGCTTTAATCTAATTAACTGAAAACGTTCTCTTTTAAACTAAATCTCTTGCAAYTGGAAATCAATGCATTTTAATGTTTGTGTGGGTTTGGGTTTTAAAGAGAAGCATAAAAYCAATGCATTTGTGCAAATTCATAAATCAAAACTTTTGCTTTTCAATACAGTCATCTTCGGTTCTGCTTCATAGCTCATGCTCTTGTTTCTAACTATAGCAGCAATTCCCAGAACACTAACGAGCCCCRAGCACCGCTTCATTTACAGTACGGGTCTTTCGTTCAGGTGAACCAAATGTCTACTCCCCAACTCACTCTTTACTGATGAGTCTTCAGGAAAAGGAAGTCTCCTTTTAAAAAACATACTTTAGTGGCTTGAGGAGTCTTCCAAAGCTCCAACACTCACCAAGGAAAGCACCTTCTGTCTCCTATAGCAGTATTTATTACCAGTTCTACAGGTAGTACAGGCACATATAGGTAGCGGCAAGAATGAAATGCAAGGGGATGCATTTTGGGGGGGCTATGCTCACCAGTGTGTGGCTACAAAGGGTTGCATCAGGGGAGCCAGGCCAGGAGACGCAGACCCGCGAGGCCCGGGGCTACCAACACCCTGCTGCTGATCACAGCCACCTTCCCAAAGCTCACACCTCAACTGCAGGGGTGGCACCTCCCAGCCCGGGGCACCTGCCAGCAGAGGGGGACAGAGGCTCGATCTTCTCCCAGGGGGACAAGGACTTTGGGTRCACCTCGATCATGCACCCAAAGTCATCATGCATGTGAATAAGGCAACAAAAGATAAATAAAATTGTCAGTTGGAGATTAAGGATTTTGGTGCAGCTATTTCAGCACGCCAAAAGGCAAGCAAACCTGGCTCCGAGCCTGCCAGGGTGTTTGTAAGAAAGCTCTGTGACGGGAGCTCAAACGAGACAGCCCCAGGCAAAGGGCTCTGTCCCCARCTCCCTTTGCCCGTTTGCAGCAGGATGCACCTGAGTTTTTTCCCAACGGGGCTTGTGTGCTGCCAGCCCGGCAGCCAGAGCCGCCCCACGCACCCGTCGCTCGCAGCAGCCCCCAGAGTGAGTCAGCGCAAGCGCTGGTTGCAYCAGGAACTCATCCAGCTTGGAATGAAGGAGGGAGAAGAACAGATTGCTTTTGCCCTCCCGGAGCCCTGCTGGCCCCAGGCCCGGTCGCTGCGGCAGGGCGGGAGCTGCCGAGAGCACAGCCGCTGCCGCCCCCGCAGCCGCCGTGGCCAGCGCACCCTTTCCCTTCATCTCTCAAGCCTTGTAAGGTACCAGCTCTCGAAACAAAAACCTCAACCACATGGGTTTGAAGTGAGTGACAAGGCGCTCCTGGCCCTGGTGCTGGGGCAGGGCTGTGCCAGGCTCGCTGTGACCCCATCCCCTGTTGCTGGCTGCTCCGAGGCCCGTGTGGCTCCCGAGCTGCGGGAACTGGCCGATTCACCCCACTCCCCATCCCCCCTTTGGGAAACCAGGCCACTTTGAGGGACAGAATCGCTCTGACTATAGCAGTATCGAAGAGAAATGAAAAACACAGAGGGCCTGTTTCATTGGCAAAAAGTCCCCGAAATATGAGGAGAGGAAAATCCCAGGAAAAACCTCACCAAAATAAAACTCCACTGTAAGAACTATTTTCACACTCTTCCTCTTTTTCCTCAGCCTGTCGCTTCTTGTTTCATGACAGGCACACAGCTAGTACATGTTTAGTCTTAGGCTAAAAAAGTAAATACAGAGTGTGCAGGGCATGCTGGTTTTGCAATATTCATAGTTGATGTCAGCCAGAAAGTTAAGTTCTCATTTATTTCTTCCCAGGGCACCAGCGCAGAAGCGGCAGGGAGGGCCGTGAGTGCAACCACCAACAGGGTGATACCCAGTGCTGGCGCTGGGGATGTTCCCGGCATCCACAGTAACTAATTGGGCAATTACATGCTGGGCATTTAAACCTAGGCAATCTGTTTGGCTGACTTCATACATTTCAGCATGAGTAAGTSGCATAGAAAGCGAGCGGCGATGAGGAAGCGTGGCGAAAAGCCCAGATCACGCACTGGGCTGTCAAGCTGCTGCCTACCCATCCTCCCGAATGGTGAGGACACCAGTGCTACCGCAAAGGCCAGGGCAGCCTCGCCGCGGGAAAGGTCACTGCAAAGCTAAGGTAAAAGCTTTCAGTTRCAGTCAAACCCCACAGCACGGAGCACAACAGATCTAAAACTTTCTAAATGTTACTGTTGGAAATTCAAGAACCCAAATGCTCTGAGGCAGAAATAAGGTCCTCTTTTTAATGGTATGTAGTTCCTTCTTGAGTGTATGTATTATTTAATCATCTTTATGTACATGATCACACACAGGTTTTTTTCCATGGGATGATTGCTTAGGATGGATCACATTCACCAAACACACAAGCCACCATTTTATTTTGTTCTAAGCTAATCCCCCAACGAGCTACAAGCTCTCTACCTCTGCTCTATAACCAGAATTACTAATTTCTCTCCCCATATTTTTCTACAGTACTCATTCTATGATATGACTGATCTATGTCRTCAAATTTGGTTTCAAAAACCAGGCTGAGAGGACACACCACCGAAAATTTCAGCATAAACAGTAAACACGTAGCAAACTTTTTAAGAACCAAGGAAGAGAATACATCYGATGGATGTCAGCCGGTCTTCATGCTTCGTATACCTGCATTAACAGGTGCTATATATCTCCCTACCACACTGCAGTACTGCTTTGGACCATGCTGAAGGCTTCATGAAACCATCCAACTCAGAATCACATTATGAGGCCAACTGTGCTCATTTCCTGCCCTTTTCCCATTCAATTTCAACAGCTTCTCTGAAGCTGGTGACGTGTCCCCTGCGTGCTCAGAGCTTGTGCCGCCTGCTCGCAGAGCTGCGCGTTACCGCAGCGCCTTCGCGGGCTGCTCGCGATGCGCGAGCGYGCACACCAGCGCACACACACAAACACACACAGCCTCTCCTCTCCCTCTGCCTCGCCTGCTCTTTCCAGCCAGAAACTTATCTGGATTCAAACCRGGCTTCCCCTGGCTGGGCTGGTGGGAAAATCCCAGCTAATACAGTGACTCGTGACTATTATAGCCTTTTCCTAAAATACAACTGGGTAAGAGAGCAAACCCAAACCCTTTCTCATCCACAATTTTTGKTATGATAATTAAAATGACACAATTCTTGGAAAAGTAGTAAACAATCTATTATATTCTTTTAGAGCCAATGTGGAGCACTTTTCAACTAAGGCAGTCTCTTTTTCCTTGGCTGCAAATAACTCTACCAGTCATCCTGGCAGTGCCAACCTCACGAGCTCTGTGAAGTTAGCAAGTAGCCATTACTCCAAAAGCTGTCACAACAAGCTAGAAGAAAGTTCATTCATCTTCCTTTCCAAGTCAATCAGCTAAAAAAG